AAATAAATAAATAAATAAATAAATATATCCCGTGGAGAAATAACACTATATAATGCATCTATATTCTTGTCCCTTACACTGGGACGAGAACAATGCTACTGTCGGCTCTTCCATGCAGCCATATAACCCAGAATATCAAGGCAGAAAATCCCACAATATCTACTTTGAACTGGGAGTCCACACTGTGCCATATATTCCAGGTCAAAGCAGATAATGTGGGATTTTATTCAGCTATATGGAAGGGGCCTGTGTAAGTTTCTATGGGGCTTGTTTTGTTCACAGTTTGTGTGGAATCAGGAGATTTACTAAGTCTTCCTCCTGAGTCATAGGGAGATCCCATTACTCATCCCATACCTCTTCCTGTTGCCATTGTTGCATCAAGTAGAAGCAATTCAAACAGTCTTAATGTTTGCTCATGTTTTGTCCTTTCAAGACATTTCTGATGAATGGCAACCCTATCACAAGGTTTCATTGGGCTGACAAGATCATCCAGTGTTTTCATGACTGAGTTGGAATTCAAACTCTGGTCTCCAGAGTATAAATCTAGCACTCAAATCAAGACATGCCAGGCTGTACCAGGACTGTTTTAATTGTTTTTGAATTGAAGTGACATCAGTTACCAACAAGCAGCTTACTTTGAACTGATGGATTGAACCAGGGACAGTCTTTAGGTTTGCCTGATTTTATCTAAAATTGCAGGATAGTTGCTCTAAACTAGGAATGCAAATCATTCTTCCCATTCCTAGTTTAGTCCTTCCACATGCCAATGCATCCAAAATGTTTCACCAAACTCCTTTTTCGTATGATTTCTATTTTGGTGACTAAACTTAAAGATCAATGCTTTTTAAAACCTAGGCTTATCTGCTCTCACCTCTTAGGTTTTGGTGCCTATACATTCTCAGAAAGGGATACTGGAGGTAGCTGTTGTTTACCTTGCCTGCTGTAGGCAAGCATACACCTTAATAGCAGGATCAGGTAGAACAGATCCAATATTTCCCATGGCAAGCTTTATTGTATTGTTTATGCCAAATATGCTATTGCAACATAATATCAGACATCTGTGTGTCTCCAGCTCTCAGACCTGATCTACCCAATGCTGATGTAACAAAACAAAAAAAAAAAACAACTTCCAGATAGACAGACACAAAGAAAGTAGAGGGAGCTATGGGAGCATTAAAAGATGTTTAAAAAAAGGATCCTCACTATTGGAGGCCTTGATAAGAAAGTATGACTATATCTCACAAAGGGTACAATTTCATCAAAAGATACCATATTTACCGTATATCAGTCAGTCCAAATAAAAACCTTTGTTATTATATAGGAATGTCTTCACTGGAGAAGCATAAGCATTGAGGACTTTGCCGTGATACCCCAAGGTTGAGAAACGCTGGGTTAAACCCTTGTGCTGGCTGAACTGCTGACCTGAAGATTGATGGTTTGAATCCATGAAATGAGGTGAGCTCCCATCTGTCAGCTCCAGCTCCCCGTGCGTGGACGCTAGAGAAGTCTCCCACAGGATGGTAAAACATCAGAGTGTCCCTTGGGCAATCTCCTTGCAGATAGCCAATTCTCTCACACCAGAAGCGACTTAGAGTTTCTCAAGTTGCTCCTGACACACACAAAAAGGGGGGGGGACTACAAAATCATGCAATTTTGTGAGGCACCAGCACTTTTTGGCAGAGAAAGTTAAAGGCTCTGTAAAACAACAACTCTTCTGATTCCATAGCATTGAGCCATGGCATTTATAGTAGTAGTGTCAAGCTGCATTAATGCTGCAGTATAACTGCACCCAAAGTTTCCAACTGTATATTAATTTGCAGAGTCATTAAATAAGATCTAGGACAGATTTGGCAATTATAGGTATACATCTATGTGACATAGACTTAACTCTGCTTAGAAAACCAAGTACTTGCTAAGGGTTCACCATGAACCTACAGGGAGGTTTCAATACCACAAAAGATCAAGTAATTTTCAACACTTCAATCAGTTAGCAGCGATGAAGACTCTCTGGTCTATTGGCAAGGTCAAGTGATGCAAAATATTTAAAGACCAGGCTGTTGTGGCATGAGATTGGGTTCTGTTCATTTGCAAAACAGACTTCTTCTAATTGGAAGGGCTGCAGGAAATCCTTATCAAACTGACAGACGGCATAAATGACCTTTATTCTGCAGTAATGTGACCTCATCCAGAATACTTCATCCCGTTTCCAGGTGCAACACTTTTAAGAAGCCTGTAGACAAATTGCAAGAGTTAGAGAGAGACAATGAAGTTGATCAGCTTTGCCGGATCAAAAACAAATACCAACAAGAAAGATTAATGTAGAAACCAGAGAAAACTAAAAAAATGTGGATCAGGAAATATATTATAGCAGAGGAATGCAGATAGCAGTTATTTCCAAAATGGGTGCTGACTAGAAAACAAAGCTTTGGGAATTCTTATATTAAAATGTGCTCACATAGTTGCTTTTAGAAGTTGGAAAAGGGGATTTGCTCCTGTTTGGTACTGACTGGTACCATCTGTTTTAGGAATTTTGGATACCTGTGCATGTGTTTATGTATTATAAACACATGCACAGCCAAACACTTACCAGTACTGTACTTATAAAACTCATACAATGAAGCAGCTAAGATTTCTTTAAATGAGCAGTAGTGTTGCTAATAAATTGTAGTTATTCATTATGGAGGTGTTTTGCTCACATCTCAAGGATAAAGGATCAAACATGAAGTTCTGGAATGAATGCGGCTATTGTGCTTCTTTTATTCCAATGGAGTCTGTTCACAATAACTTTCCTTTGCATTGCTTTGTTTAATGTGTGTACATTTCCATGGGTATATATTTATATGTCCTAAATGTATATGTCCTTAATATTTACTTAGGTTTATACTTATGAGTGATTTTAGAGTTATATTCAACATGTCTAATATCTATTGTCATTCTTCTTTCCTATGTATTATGATTTGTCTTTACTTTGTTGATTTAATTCTCTCCTATTGTTATGTGTCTACTTTTATTTATATTGTGTTCCTGTTGTAAGCCACTCCGAGGAGTCCTCTCGAGGAGAGGGGGCAGGATATAAATCATCATCATCTTCATCTTCATCATCATCATCATCATCATCATCATTGCAGTGATTCTGGCCACAAATGGTAATAATACTTCTTGGGGATGCTGAGAATGGCAGTCCAAGAAGACCAGCCTTCCCCAAGCCCGGAAGATCCTTCAAGGAAGAGCAAGTGTTGTAGGCGACGTTTCAGAGCAAGGAAGTGGCAACCCCGCCTCTGAGTCCTCTTGGCCCAGGAAAACCCCATGGCATTGAGAGACCCGCCCCAGCCGATGGTCAGAACTTGGCAAGCGGGAGAGAGAGAGAAAGCAGGGAGGAGCCCAGCTTTCCCGTCGCCAGTGGCGGTGCTTATCGCTCCGGCGAGGCGGCTCTCCCTCCAATTCCCGGGGAAGCAGGAGGGACCCGCCCCTGGGTGGAAGAAGAAGGAGAGGAGGAGGAAGAGGAAGGAAGAGTAGGCAGAGCCAGCAATGAAGGGTTGCGCCCCGAGGAGCGCCCACGGCATGGAGGAACCCTGAGAGAGGCTCCCTGCTGCAGAGAATGGCTGAGGACGGGGCTACAGGTGAGTGGATCCTTCTCTCTCCTCACTTTACCTGTGTGATCCACCTGCCAGGTGCATCTAACCAGGCCTGGGCAAACTTTGGCCCTCCGGGTGTTTTGGACTTCAACTCCCACAATTCTGTTAGGTCCAAAACACCTGGAGGGCTAAAGTTTGCCCAGGCCTGATCTACACTTTAGAGTTAACGCACTTTGGTGCTTTAACTAGCCTGGGAGAATCCTGAGAGAGTCTTTTGGCAGGGCAACCTTGTAACACTCCCAACTCCAATGATTTTATAACCATGGTTGCTGGAAATTAGATTGGTCTCAAACTATGTTAATTCTACAGTGTAGATGTACCCCCCAGGGTCTCCTCCCTGTATATAGCACTGTTTTGTGCTTGTTGATTTGGAGTCCTCCTCCCTGTATAGCACTCATATTGGAGCTGCGTTGTTTCCTGCTTGTTGAGTTGGAGGAAAGGTTTCCCAGAGGGCCCCCCCCCCTTTCCTAGTTTCCAACAGACCTACAACCTCTGAAGTTGCCTGCCATAGATGCAGGCGAAACGTCAGGAGAGAATGCTTCTGGAACATGGCCATATAGTCCGGAAAACTCACAGCAACCCAGTTTCCCAGAGGGTTTTGGATGGATGCAAACTGGGAGAAAGTAGACATTGTCCCCCCACTCTTTCTGAGACACCCCCCCCCCCCAATTTTATGGCAGGAGGAAGTTTGCCATGAAGGAATCAAATGCGGTGCCCGCTGTGTATGTAGTATTGCTGGTATCCTGGGAGACCAGCTTGGGTCAAGTGTATGTTTTTGAGTGAGAAGAGCAAGGCAGAGTTTTCTGGAGGCGGGTTTTAAAGGAACAGGGGCCTTGTTGTTCTCCGGGAAGAGACAAAAGAAAAAAGGGTGGAGGGGAGGGGAATTCATTACCTGTCTCCGCCCCCAGCTTGCTGCCAAAGAACATGGTAACAAAAAACCTGCCCAAGCCCCCTTTTCTACACCCACCATCTCAGAAAAGAGAGAGGGAAGATTGCATAGAGAAGTTAAAAAGAAACACTGAGCCACTTCGAATTTACTACAGGTGAAACAAAAGTGATTAACAACAGATATCTGGGGTTGGGCTGACTTTTTTGTCAGTGGAAGCAAATGGATTTTGGAAATGAAAAGTGTCTCTAATTACCATGATTTCTTTTCATGTCAGGAGTGACTTGAGAAATAGCAAGTTGCTTCTGGTGTGAGAGAATTGGCCATCTGCAAGGACATTGCCCAGATGATGTTTTGAGTCCAAGTTTTGAGGGGAAAGCAGAATATAAATTCATATAAATAAATATGAATTTATTTATTTAGAGCCCCCAGTCGTGCAGCAAGTCAAACCACTGAGCTGCTGAACTTACTGACCAAAAGGTCAGCGGTTCGAATCTGAGCTTCCACTGTTAGTCCCAGCTTCTGCCAACCTATCAGTTCAAAAACATGCAAATGTGAGTAGATCAATAGGAACCGCTTCGGCAAGAAGGTAACTGCGCTCCATGCAGTCATGCTGGCCACATGACCAAGGAGGTGTCTACAGACAACGCTGGCTCTTTGGCTTAGAAATGGAGATGAGTATCACCCCCTCAGAGTTGGACATGACTAGTCTTAATGCCAAGGGGAAACCTTTACCTTACGTGTACTTTCAATGATAGTAATAATAGTCCCCATAGGGCAGAAAACTCTTGAAGGCGCACAAGAACACCCCCCCCCCTACAAATCCCAGATTTCCACATGAAAAGGATATGAGTGTATAGTAAACTCAAAAGTTCACTGAGGTTGTATTTGAACTAAACATTATCTTGGCTGAAATAAATGCATCAGATATTCTCCTAGCAACAGGATACATCCTGTGTCTGTATCACAGAAATAGTTACTAGGAGACCTTCAACATACAGAGGCTACGCTTTGGATAATATGCCTCTCCCTGTATGTTCAAGCCCTTTGTCATATAACAGTCAATGACCTTCCTAATGAGGAAGAATAACCAATTGTCCCTGGAACCAGTCCTACAGCAGTTATAGGCAGAGTTTGGAAAATATTAATGTTGTACCAAAATTTCCAGAATTCCCCAGTAGTCCAATAAAGCCAGCTTTTCCCAAGCTCTGATTACAGGATACCTGCTCCTACTTCCTGGTATCAAAAAGAGAGGTAGGAAGTGCCAGTCTACTTTCTTCCCCAACTTTTTTGTGTATGTACTTTACACCACACTAGCAAACAGCACAAAATCCTTTGGCATCAGGGGTGGAGAATATGTGTGTCTTTGTGGAGCTACAATTCTTAGTATGCTTCATCACTGATTAAGCATGCTGGGAATGATGGGATCACAGAATCATAGAGTTGGAAGAGAAGCAGGAAAATCACATTCAAAGCAACCCAACATTGGAAGGACCACAGGTGTTGCATGAAGAAGACCTGGTCCTGATGTCTCCTCTGACTTAATGAATTGTGGGAATGATTGTAGGCAGAGCCTCCTGGGTGTCTTATGATTCAGGGGAACAGGGTCAAGTAAGCTAAATCATTATGAATTAACGACATAATAACTTCCTGGCTTTTTCTATGGGAATTGTAGAAAGAATATACCAAAGCTATTGTACAAAGAACATTGAGACAAGGACTTCAAGGTTCTTTATTTGATGTCACATTTAAACCCTCTAACTCAGGGGTCCTCAAACTAAGGCCCAAGGGCCGGATACGGCCCTCCAAGGTCATTTACCCAACCCTCGCTCAGGGTCAACCTAAGTCTGTAACTACTTGAAAGCACACAATAACTACAACAATCCTATCTCATCAGCCAAAAGCAGGGCCACACTTCCCATTGAAATACTAATAAGTTTATAATGTTTAAATTGTTCTTCATTTTAATTATTGTATAAGTGTTGTTGTTTTTTTTGCACTACAAATAAAATATGTGCAGTGTGCATAGGAATTCATTCATGTTTTTTCCCCAAATTATAATCTGGCCCTCCAACAGTTTGAGGGACTGTGACCTGGCCCTCTGTTTTAAAAGTTTGAGGACCCCTGCTCTAAGTATCCTGATATAACAAGGACAATCCTCATTAATCATCTCTTATTCCACCTAGTTTGCATTCAATGGATTCAAACTACAAGACAAAAGATTCCACAAAACATTAGGAAAAACTTTCTGACAGCGCTGTTTGGCAGTGGAATATTCTGCCTTGGGGTGTGGTGGGGTCTCCTTCTATGGAGGTTTTAAATCAGAGGCTGGATGGCCTTCTACTGGGAGTGCTTTGATTGTGTCCCTGCATGGTGCAGTTAGGACTGGATGGCACTTGTGGTCCCTTCCAACTATGATAAGTTTCTTAAAATGCTCTTGTTTCTCTTTCCTCCCCCCATTTTCCCCATTTTTCCTCTCCTAATATATGTCGCTGCTGAGTTTAGAATACTAAAGTATTTTACACTCACTTCATTGGGAGGAGAGCGAGCCCTTCCTAATAGTAGAGTTAGGAAAATACAAACTGTTGCCATCTCTCCTGGCTTGTGGGTTCTTCCTCCTTATTGACGTTTTTCTGTATTGACCATACTTTGATGTTGCTTGGCCACACATGTCCTGGTCTCCATCTCTAAAATGTTGTTGTCATCTCCCTGTCCTGGAATATCGCCAACTGCAGCCCATCAGATGCGTAACAGAATATTGAATAAATACAGAAGGGGCAGGGACTGTGCCAATCCAGGGCACTGAATATAATAAACTGTGTGTTGTCTTTCCTTCTTTGCATTCTACACCCATCTTCCCAGAAGTAGTTCCTGCAACTGAAATATTTTGATCTTAAAATAGGAAGCTTTCTGGCATGAAGTTCCTCATATCTGAAGATGCAAGATGGTGCAACTTAACAGCACATACATATCTGGATCATTTCCCCCCTAATAAGCAGTTATTTCCTTCTCTCACACACTGATATCTTCAAGTAGAATCAGGGGCAGCTCAACACATTACACAAAGTAAGCATTCACAGTATAGTTGATTTTGCCCAGGGGTGCTCTTGAGGGGAAATAGACCTTGACATATGCGAGTTGTAGTTACTGGGATGTATAGTTCACCTACAATCAAAGAGCATTCTGAACTCCACCAATGATGGAATTGAACCAAATATGGCACACAGAACTCCCACGACGAACAGAAAATATATATCAGTGATTGGTTGGGGGCGCCAAAATACTGTTTGCTTACAGTTGAAAATTACCTAGGGCCGCCTCTGAGTAGAATTTATGTATTTATTTACTGCACTTATATCCCACCTTTCTCACCCTGAAGGTGACTCAGGGAAGCTCACAACAAAGACACAGAAGTGTTTATCTCAATATTGGTTTTTTTACCATCTATTGGGCTGATGAGTCAGTCACATACCTGAAGCCTGTGTTTTCAGGGTAACTTGGAAACAGAGAACTCATCATCTCCCCTGGTAGGAAGACACATTACATTTTACATTCCTTCGGTGCTCATAACAGAGAATGGTTGCTCCTGTTTTGTGTTTATATGTTATGCCCAAAGTGCAAAAAGAGAGTGTGCACACTCATTCGGGTCTTTTTTTATCATTACACAATTAATGGCACTTTATTACCACTGTAACTGTCATGACTGCATTCTACAGAAGTCTAGAATTTGGTATTTTGCTGACGCTCTCTTGACAGTGAATTCCAAATAACTCGAAACTAAAACAAATGCATGAAGGTCAAAGTGGTATAAAAGTGCTGCAATTGTATACTGTTGGTGAGACGCCTAGGTGAAAACAACTAGGCATAGGGGGTGGTTTAAGAGGCAGAAGACCCATATTTGGCTGCTTAATGAAAGGATAGTCGTCCTGTCCATTTTTGCATAGAAAACCTGTAAAGACTTTCAGTGACTTGACCTAAATTTGGTGCTAAGGAGGAAATATGCATATTTATTTATTACTAGCCGTCCCCTGCCCCGTGTTGCTGTAGTCCAATCTGTGTATATGTGTTTTGTGTTTGTATATATGTGTGTATATGTGTATATATATTTGTGTATATGTGTATATATGTAGTTTTGCGCATGCGTTGTAATATAGTTTTTATTTTTTGGCTTTTTAAGTCTCTTCCGCTGTGTTTTTCAGTGTTTTTATGAGTGATGGTCACTCGCTTCCCCACAGCATCTGCTGCTTGAAGTAGACACTTCACTCCCTTTAATGGCAGAAAGGACAATGCTGAACCATTTTCTCTTAGGACACTCTTAAAGGCACCAACGAGTAGGCATTTTTAAAAGGAAAGTATCTAGAATCTGCTCCTGGTTTGCGGGAAAAATATAATCATCCCTCCACATTCATTGCAGTTAAGGGCTCAGGACCCCTCACTAAAATGGAAAAAAGTGAATTTAAAAACCACTATCTCTTTTACACGAGACAACTGTGCGCTAGACATCTCCAGGTCCTCCATCACAACTCTACAGTCAAAATCTGCCAGAAGTTCACCATAGAATCAGAAAGACTTACAAATGCCTGGTAAAGTATTCTTTCTAGAAATGTCTAGGTTCTCCAGTGAAACATTATAGTGGAAATTGACCCTAGAGTCACTTTGGAGAGTCTAGAGATTACTAAATAGACCATATTAATAAAATCTATGAATAATCAAACCTGCAAAAGGCAAATCCAAAAACAAAGAGGAGGGCCTCCTGTACTCAAAACAGTGCAAGGGAAACCCTGCAGATGGTGATTGTCATATTTATTTATATCCTGACTTTTCTGATGGGTTAAACCATTGAGCTACTGAACTTGCTTACCGAAAGATCGCAAGTTCAAATCCGGGGAGCAGTGTGAGCTCCTGCTGTTAGCTCCAGCTTCTGCCAACCTAGCAGTTTGAAAACATGCAAATTTGAATAGATCAATAGGTACTGCTCCGGTGGGAAGGTAACAGTGCTCCATCCAGTCATGTCGGCCACATGAACTTGGAGGTGTTGATGGACAACGTCAACTCTTCGGCTTAGAAATGGAGATGAGCACCAACCCCCAGAGTCGGACATGACTGGATTTAATGCCAGGGGAAAACCTTTACCTTTACCTTTTCTGAAAATTGGGTCTCAAAGAGTGTCTTACCATTTCTGGAGGCTTCCAGGAACACCAGAAGCTCTCTTTTTGGGCAGAAAAAGGACTGGGGTAGAAGAGAAGGGATGCCAAAACATTGTTGAGAGCTCCTGCATGGTCTTAGGTCCACATTTTGTGCCCCAGTCTAACAGTTGTGTTAGCTCTGACTGTATGACCACCGAAAGGGTCACAATCCCCTTTGTGAATACTGATGTAATCTACCTTCCTGTGTCTAACAGCCGCCTGGTTCAGATGCCTGAAAGGAAATCAAACAACAAAAGCACATTTATGAAAGAAGTCCTCCATTGTTAAACAAGGCTTGAACAGGCAGGAAATTTGAGCATTCAATTACAACCCTCTCCCAGTGCTGCCTTATTTTGGGGGCCCTATTGCTCTAAACTTCACTGGGAATGGTATTACATAATGCCATGCAATCCTGTGAAACTAGATACTACAGTAACAAGTTGTGACCCTTCTGACAAAAATCCCATGCCTATTTACATATCTTTCAACATTTTAGTTTGGCAAAGACAGTCCTGATTAATTTTCTAATGTTTCACTTTTTCAACTGCTTTTAAAATTCTTGTTTCTCTCTTCTCCTCTCATTCCTTCTTTTGTCTTCAGTAGCTGCAAACTGAATTTAAAATACAAAACAGACTCAAAAAGAGCAGCATCATACTTTTCCCTTTAGGTTGAGTCAAAAACAAACTGCTGTAGCCTCTCTTAACTTGTCTTTTCGTCTCCTTTAATAACTTTATCACACATTATTGCTCAACCAAACACGACTTGGACTTTCATCTGTGAAAAGTTGGATGGGATGCATTCAGCTCAACAGACATATGGCTAATTGATAAAAATAGATGCAAATTCTGCTCTGTGAGTTTGTTGGAAAACGGTTACTGACTCTAAGCTGCTACTTTATGATTTGAACATTATCCCTGGACTGCTAACAGCAACAGGAGGAAAAGCTGATGTCATTGGTCAGGAAAGGTGCAGGGAGGAACCACATTCCAGTGCAGTGTTTTTAATTGTTCCACTGCTGCTGCCTAGATTAAATCAATGTCTTCTGAACCAAATCCAACCCACCAGAGCTTCCGATTCCCAAACAATGGCCAAAGCAAAATCACTCTCGAGTTGCAATAGTGTTTGCCTCTCCCTCAAAAATGGATCATGTTTCTAAAGGGATGCTAGTACAAAGCAAATTACCCCACACTGATTTGAAGTGAAGCTTTTTCAGCTTGTCAACAGTTCATTCGTATCTAGATCTTTAGCATTCCCCTTTTTTGAGCATTCCCATGCTTTGTTTGTCTTAGATGTAGTCATTTCTAGAAGGGTTAACTCAAAGTAGTTTTAATTTCACATCACTTTAAACAAATAATTGATTTTTTTAGTTCTTGGTATTAAGGTACACACACACACACACACACACAATAACTTGGGGACCTGGTCGTGTCCAGCTTATTAGAAGAAGGCATTGTCTGTTTTGCGTTGTTAGGTAATATCACTTAAGTTTGGTCCAGATCCATTGTTGACTGGGTTTAGTGCTCTCTGAATAATGAAGAACTACAACTCCAGATTCCAAGGGCAATCACCTCCAAAGCCTGCCAGTATTTGCAATTGGCCATGTTGGTTCTGTGGGCCAAGTTTGCTCCAGATCCATCATTAGCTGGGTTTAGTGCTTTCTGAATAAGGGTGAACCACAGCTCCCAAATTCCCAGGGCAATCACCCCCAAACCCCACCTGCATGCACAGTTGACAATGTTGGGTCTGTGTGCCAAGTTTGGTCCAGATCTCACGTCAGCTGGGTTTAGTGCTTTCTGGATGCAGGTGAACTACACCTCCCAAAACCAAGGTCAATTCCCACAAACCCATGCAGTATGTTCAGTTGGTCATGGGGCTTCTCTTTTCCAAGTTTGGTCTTGGTCCATTGTCAATGGGGGTCACTGTTTCTATGGATGCAGGTGAACTACAACTCCCAAAATCATAGTCAATCCTCCCCCCCCAAAAAAACCCCAATGTCCCTGAAACTTCTCCAGTATGTTTTGTTGGTCATCGGAAGTCTATGAGCCAAGTTTGGTCCAGGTCCATCATTCGAATCAAGCACAGTTAGTGGGGACGAGAGACAGAGCCTTCTCAGTCATGGCCCCTCGGCTGTGTAACTCCCTCCCCAGTGACATTAGATCAGTCCCCTCCCTTCTGGCCTTCAGAAGGAAAGTGAAAACATGGCTTTGGGATCAAGCCTGCAGAGAATAGTGCAGTGCAATAACAGAGATGCAATATGTGCAATGAGTATTGGAATGGCCCTGGACTACGATTATGGATGGTATGGTTTTAATATTGAATGTAATGTTTTCAAATGTTTGATATGTATTCATTTTAATTTTAATTTTAATTTTAATGTTTATTGGAATTGTATGTTTCTCTAAGGCATTGAGTAATTGCCTATATGTAAGCCACCATGAGTCCCCTTCGGGATTGAGAAAGGTGGGGTATCAATAGGATAAATAAATAAATAAATAAATAAATAAATAAGTAAATAAGTAAATAATCTTATTCTTACAAATACATAAACTTGTGAGAAATGACTGGTGCTTGCACTTTCTTTGCTTTAGGTCACAAGAAGCGGGCAGTCATCTTCTTTGTCATGGCCCTGTTAGCCACCGAACCTGCCTTAGGATCTCTGGAGGAGACTTGCAATTGCAGCACTGCTATTGATTTCCATCTGTTCCAGACCGGATTGGTTCCTGAGATGTGTTGTGTGAATCTTAGCAGGACTACCATTGACATGTTGGACTGGAGCATTTTCTCTGGAATTGTGGGATTGAGAGAGCTCTACCTCTCAAATTGTGGCATATCTGATATTATCAGAGCAGATAATGGTTCGTCATCCTTAGAGATTCTACACTTGGACCATAACCAGCTAAGTACACTCCCAGACAGTTTCCTAAAAAATGCACCCACTTTGCATGTCCTTCAATTAGAGAGCAACCAGCTCCAGAAATTACCTGAATCATTCCTAGAAGCATCTGACCAAATCCAGGTCATTCACCTTGAGTTCAATAATTTAACTTCCCTCCCCTCTGGGATTTTTAAATCATCCCTCCTTGAACTAGGCCTCTCCAACAACAGCTGGGACTGCACTTGCACCTTATTTGGAAATGTGGACAATGTTCAGCTTGCGCCACTGGACCCTGAGATAATTTGTAGCACACCACAACATTTCCATGGCCTGAACATCAAGAACATTCCTAGGCAGGAACTGTGCCGGAACCATACCCTTACAGCTCTCCTCATCAGCCTGCCTTTGGTGGCCATCCTAGTTTTGGTCATCTGCTGCTTTTGCAGACAGAAGAAAAAGACCAGCTATGTTATCCGTAGCAGGAAAGAAAGCCACCTAGCAATAGGAGAGAAGAATGGTGGCAAAGGGTCAGGGGACCATCACAGCTACATGCCTTGTGATCTGCCTATTGTATCTGCTGCAGAAAGTGAGAAGAACATCTTGTTGAGAAACCAAGTCTTGCTGAAGCCTTCAGCAGCACTACTGGGGAGCAACAGAGACCTCTATGAGGAGGTAGAGATCAAACTGGGGTCCTCTGAGGATTCCATGGTGCAAGGAAGCCTTGATCAAGACAAATCAGGGTCCAACAAACTGGCTGTGGCCGAGGAAGGTGTCACAGGTGGTGAGTCCGAGGCTGAGACTGTGAGTGTGACGGACGTCCTGAAGGACTCAGCAGACCGTGAGAAACTCTATATGAACCAGTCAGATTATTATAACCTGGTGCCCGGGATTGAACTGGAGGATTCAGACCACATGGAGTATGAGAACATTGACCTTGGCTGAGGCCAAGCGGCTGAAAATGGGCATCACCAATTATCTTTCATCTGTTAGAGGGGCAGGAACACCAGCCAGAGACAATGTGCAAAGTCCCCTACTGATTAGTTATTTCATGTAAACAATGTTATGCTCTGTAACATTTGTTTCTATGTTTTAGGGCCTTTTGTATGGGAAATCTGTCATTGTCAAAAATGAAGAAAATATATCTTGCACTAAGGCTGATCCACCCCATTCTGAGAGGCATTTGGAGAGGTGGACTCTGTTGATGGCAGTTTCTTTCTAGCCATTTGTTGCTATGCATGAAACTTGGTGTGCAGGTTTTTTTTAATGTTTATGCCTATTTTTAGAAAGCAAAGCAATCTGACATTTTATTTTTAAAGACTTTTAGCATGCTATTCTATGTATTCCCTACATGGGATTGTATGAGATTCCCTCCTAAATTCCCATACTCTCTCCTGACCTTCATTCCTGCTGTGTGAGTTGGTCTCTCTAGTCTCTTTCCCTCCAAACTCCACTAAATGGAGTTTGTGCTCTAGGAATTTCTTTATTTTAAGAACTGGGATTTCATGCTGCAGCATATGGAAAGAGAGTGGCACCTGGTGGACAGGAGAGCACACATCTGGTCTCACTAGAATAATAAAGGCTGACTATCCCTTTTCTGAAAATACAAAATCTATAATATTTCAAAATCCAATTGTCCACTTGAGTGGTTAAGATAGTACCACCTTTGCTTTCTGATTCAAGATACACAAAATTTGTCGAAGGCTTTCATGGCTTGAATCACTGGGTTGTTGTAGATTTTTCGAGCTATATGGCCATGTTCTAGAGGCATTCTCTCCTGATGTTTCACCTGCATCTATGGCAAGCATCCTCAGAGGTAGTGAGGTCCTCACTATCTCTGAGCATGCTTGCCATAGATGCAGGCGAAACGTCAGGAGAGAATGCCTCTAGAACATGGCCATATAGCCCGAAAAAACCTAGAACTACACAAACTTTGTTTCATATACATAATTATTAAAATATTGTTTATAATATTATCCTCAGGCTATGTGTACAAAATGCATATGAAACATAAATTAATTTAATGCTTAGATTGGGGTCCTATCTTCAAGACATCTCATTGTGTATGTATATACAAATAAAAATACTCCAAAATTCGAGGGGGGGTGGGTCTGAAATCCAAAACAGTTCTTTTCCCAGGCATTTTTGGATAAGGGATACTCAGCCTGTATGTGCTCCAAGATGTCCAGTATTCCCTTACATCAGACATGGGAATTATGTAGCCTTTGAAATGTTGTTTGCAATCCTAGCAAACATATTAATGTCTGAAAGCACTTAAGATATAACAGCAAATAAAGATCAACACTCAAAGACAGGGGAACTCCAGACAAGAAACAATCAGGGACAGCTAATCACCTCTCAGCAAAGGAGTCCCCAGGCAGTAACAAGCCACATCAAAAAAACTGTCAGGCCATCAAATGCTAATCAAAGCAGCCAATGGCAACATTCACACTTGCCTCCAACATACAAGAGTTCTTTCTTCCACCCTGGATGTTCCACAGAGATATGAACCCAATTTTCCTAGTTTCCAACAGCCCTCACAGCCTCTGAAGATGCCTGCCATAGATGCAAGTGAAACACCAGGAGAGAATGCTTCTAGAACATGGCCATACTGCCTGAAAAACCTACAACAACTCAGTGATTCTGGCCATGAAAGCCTTCAACAATACTTAAGATATTATCATTTAGATATAATATATCTAATCTAGGCTAACTTTTATCCATTTCTTTAAGTTTGTTTTATAAGATTTGATACACATGTAGCTTGATCAATGGGTGGAATGCCAGACAATTGAGTTACCTGTTGAGTCAAAGGTGGCTTTTTCTACCTCTCCCAGAGTACACCTACATTGTAGAATTAATGCAGTTTGGTACCACTTACATTGCTATGACTCAATACAATAGAATCCCAGGAGTTGTAGTTTAACAAGATCTTTAGACTACTCTGCCAAAGAACATTAGTGCCTCCCCAAATTACAACTCCTCTACGATTCCATAGCATTGAGCCATGGCAGTTAAAGTGTTATCAAACTGGATTAAGTCTACAGTGTAGATGCACCCCCCAGTCTTGTGATCCAGTATGGCGGAGTAAAGAACTATTGGCCTTGAAAACATAGCTTTCCAAATTCCCACAGTAATACGTAAGCAATGCATAGGCACTTGTATATTGCTTGAGTTCCCTTTTTGTACTGAACAGTTCCAGTATTCTTGCTGTAGCATATCCGTTTCGAAAAAAGGAAGAAAAAGCAACATGTATAAATAAAGTGGGACAAACTGTTATCTTCTTCCTTTTAAGAATGTTATTACCAAAGGAGAAGTGAACAGTATTGCTTTATGTTGTTGTATTGCAATCCTGTTCCATCCTGTTGAATGGAAGCCAATCCTTGGTCACTATATGTAAGTTTCTGTTGCTTATGAACTCTGCATTTGGCACTCTGCTAATCACCCCCAAGTGAGGGTTATTTTTGAGCCTAACAGCTCTTGATTCCCAACAATTCCCCCATGGATTTATGGTGCTGTTACCCAGTTATGAAAACAAAATGTACCGTATCCTCTTACCACTTTAATTAACAAGACGAGGAGCATTCACAACTTTGTTCAGGTTGGACTTGTCCTTTGCTAGTAACACGTTTTCAAGAATATTCATGGCTTCCAAGTGAGACAACATGTGCTTGCCCCATTTGAATAATGGCATGGCCGCTGGGACCCTAAACATGCCTGTTGCCATGGTGTAACCCTATAGCCTCATGAAAAGGGGATCTGCCCATTCAATTTCAATTCAGAGAGCATCATTATGTGAAGATGCAACCTTACAACTCTGTTCCTCAGACTTACACCCAGGGGCGGCTCAACCCATTACGCAAAGTAAGCATTTGCAGTATAGTTGATTTTGCCCAGGAGTGCTCTTGAGGTGTTCTTGGGGGGAAATAGACCTTGACATATGCGAGTTGTAGTTACTGGGATGTATAGTTCACCTACAATCAAAGAGCATTCTGAACTCCACCAATGATGGAATTGAACCAAATATGGCACTCCCACGACGAACAGAAAATATGTATCAGTGATTGGTTGGGGGGGGGGCAAAATACTGTTTGCTTACCATTGAAAATTACCTAGGGCCACCTCTGCTTACACCTCAGCTAAAAGCCTGCATCAATTGCAAACCTATGTACTAGTTACAGAAGTCAGCCAGCCCCCTAGTGACTGAAGATTGCACTGTTGGTTTCAAACATTAACATATTAAAATTAATGTTGAAAAAACCTACTAAACCATAGATGTGCAGTCCTAGGGTTCCAATATTAGTATGCATGCTATATTTTGCATGTCTTTTGTTCTTGAAACCATGATGCCGACAGACAAGCACACATGTCACACACTGTAAAATGGATAAGCTTTATTTTTATTATTGGTGACAAATTCCCAAAACATCAAGAATGGAGACATGCATACTACTACAGGGTTTTTTTTTTCTGGATTAGTGTTTTCTCTCTCGATGGATTAAAAGTGGTTTTAGTAGTGGGAAGGCATTATCAATCTCATTTTCAGTAGAGCACAAGGTTCAATGCACAAGCTAGGCAAGAGACAAAAAGAAGAGCTCCTTGCATGTGTCTGTTACAGATTTTCATTACACAAGCAGGAAGCATGCTTGGAAATGATGAGTAAATGTGTGTACTATTTCTAATTAAATAACTAGGCAGAAATTCAACAGGTTCAGATTTCCAAATGATTTCATGTGTACAGCATTAGCTGTTTTGCCTGATGTATTCATAAAGATACATGTTTCACCACCAAAACAAGAAGTGTGGTAAATATCTAGTCAGACTGTCGGCACATGATTTCCCAGTGACTTCCTACTTCTGCAGGAAATATTGTGTTCATCCACCTGCAAACTCTTCCCACCTGACAAGACCATGCATTCATGACGTCCATCCACCAGAAATCAGTGTAACACAACCAGCCTACAACTGACTCACAGTTACTGTGGACATAATTTGGGGAACACTGTCTTCATACTTTATTGTTTCCCATGTTGAAATTGAAGGTGGTTGGAGGGAGAGCTTACAAGTAGCTTCCAGGATCCTTTCTTTCCCATTGTTGGCTTGATAGGTACCAGTTCAGCCATCCAGCCATCATTTAGCAGTTTCAGGCAAGCCCAGAAGAAGAGGAATAGAGCAGGAAAGATGGGGACTTTGTTATGATAATAAGAGAAAGCTTCCAAATTAGCTCCATACCAGCACTGTTTTCAATATGAGAAATGCTTTCAAACAAAATCAGGGAATGTGTGCATCTCCAGGTGTTATATTTTGATTCCCAGCAGGCCAAATCAGCAGACCTAATCATGATGATAATGGGAATACCAATCTCAACAAGGTCTTGACGCCCATATGTTCCCATCATGTCATTATGATGGGAACATATGGGTGTCAAGACATACAACTCTGTTCCTCAGACTTAAGCCCCAGCTACAAAGCCTGTATCAATTGCAAACCTATGTGTTAGTTACAGACTAGTGACTGAAGATGAGACTTAGTTTCAAGAAATAATAATAATAATAATAATAATAATAATAATAATAATAATAATAATAACGCTTTATTTGTACCCTACTACCATCTCCCCAAGGGACTCGGTGTGGCTTACATGAGGCCGAGCCCAAACACAACAATACAGGCAATAATACAACAATACAAGCAATTAAAGGAAAACATCAACGATAAACATATAACATTATCAATAAGACAACATACAATTAAAACTGTGGGAAGGCCAAATGTAAAAATTAAAATTGGAATAGTGCTGAGACATGGATGAAAAGGTGATAGTGGTGTTTGTGGAAGACATACGAGCAGACCTAAAAGTATAAAGTGCTTTGGAGGGACAAAGATAACTTCTATTTTTTAAAAAAGTTTAATTAGCTTTCAAGTGATCCTAAATTTAAAAATGAAGTAGAATATTTTTTTGCTTCTCCAGAGGGGCATAATTTCCTAATTTCTGGCCATATTGGGCAAGACTGACAGGAGCTGGAAGACCAACCGCATCCCATACAAAGACATTGTTTAATCCTATATTTCAAAGGAAAGAACTGGCCTCTAGGTCTTCCCACCTAAGAAAACTTTATGAAATAAAGGGGGGTTGCCAAAAGTCATCAGGTGACTTGAAGACAAGCCCAAACATGCTCAAAAGAATAATATAGCAAAAGAGGGACTTCTAAAAGACAGATTTACGAGCAGTAATAACCAGTGCAAATGCAGCAAGCCTATGTTACCTGTGGGAAATATATTACTTTAGGAGAGTGTGGAGCTGTAAATTCATTATCTGAATAAAGTCCAGTCAAGTTTCCCTGGGGAAAAATGCTCCCCCATCAGTCAGTTATTTGGGCAGGAAGGACAGACATAAATAAGTTTACACAGTAAGACCACTGTATTTGTGGGGGATACATTCCCAGCAGCTGGATCACAGTTGCGTGAAATCACAGACATGATCAAACACCATTAAATTACTTCTCTTCCAGTTCCAGCATATCACAGGGTTGTGTTAGAGGACCTAGAAAGGTATATTCTCTAAGAATTTTCTATATCCTATAATGAAACTGTATAGTCACCTCCAGGGAAGGAATACCACAACATCACTTGGAGCATCTAGAACATGACTAGAGAGAGAGACCATTATTCCCTGGGCCAAGGTAAATGAAACTATGGCTATGGGCTCCATGGTTATGGGGCCTCTTATTGTTTTAAGGAACTGTTGCTTACAGAAGCTTCTTTCATATACCTAGTTTATGTCTGCTTTTCTGCATGTGGCACTACATTATGTGATGCGGTTAAACCTATAGTATTATTAGGTGTTCAGAATGCAGGTGTGTAAGAAACCTGCTCTCCAACTGCTCTCCAACTTCAGCATGTTCATCTGAAGGTGTAAGCAGATGCTTATACAAGTACAAGAGTGCATAAATTAGCTGCTAATGTGCAAGCAGGGATCCTACTTTTTGCAAATCGTATTAAACTGTAACAAAGATAAATTATGACCATGTATATCACCTGAGCATTTAAACAGTTCTCTGTTCTTGAACAGCTAATAGCCACTAATCTATCACTCTGTGCACTTTAGTATATTGATCACAAGGAAGATATTTAAAAGGAATGGACAAGAGCTTTCTGGCTCTTTCTGCATGCGTGAGGACAACTGCAATAAATTGCAGTCTAACAGGTAAGAACTTCATTTTCACTCTTCTACATGAGGAAAGTATTAAGTACCATGGGAACATTTTTCTGAAAGGATTTCTGTGTATTTATCAGTTCTGTGACTAATGTTATAGCTTTTACATTTTAAAACATCACCATTAATATTATTGATAATACTAAAGTACTATTAATATAAAATTACAACCAAAGCTATGTTCAACTGATGAATATCAAGCTGTGCCTCTAAGTAAACATTTCCAGTCTGTGTTGTCGAAGGCTTCCGTGGCTGGAATCATTGGGTTACTATGAGTTTACCGGGTTGTATGGCCATGTTCCAAGAGCATTCTCTCCTGACATTTCACCCACATCTATGGCAAACATCCTCAGAGGTTGTGAGGTCTGTTGGAAACAAGTGAGGTTTATATATCTGTTGCATGTCCAGGGTGGGAGAACGAACTCTTGTCTGCTTGAGGCAAGTGTGAATGTTGCAATTGGCCACCTTGATTAGAATTTCATGGCCTTGTAGCTTCAACTTCAGTCTGGAAGTTGAACCTGTTTAATTCTATCTCAATGAGTTCAGGGCAGGGCTTAGTAATAAGTAAATTAGAATCATGGAATCATGGAATCATAGAGTTGGAAGAGACCTCATGGGCCATCTAATCCAACCCCTATCTATAGCTATATACTCACATTATGTCTTTAAAATATCCAAATTTTTCGGGGGGGGGGGGGGAGGCATTCTTTGTTGTGTGGCAGGTTCCTGTTTACTGTTAATGCCTTAAGATTCAACTTAGCTGGTAAGCACCATAGAGAAGCAATCCATCCTGCTCCAAAGAGAAAGATTGCTGTCTCTGGAGAGCCTGGAGTGACTGATGATTAACAGTAGAAACTCTGTAGTAAAGCAATAGCAGACCATTTGGATACAAATAATGAATACAGTCAATAGTTTTATCCAAGCAGTTTCAACTCAACTAGACCAACTGACTTAGTGGGACTTACATAAGTCACTATTAAACAGGATATTGTCCCACGATTTGCATTTAAGCAAAACATGAGTACTTTTCCAAGTTCCTTTGTTGCATATCAAGTGATTTTCTAATATGGGAAAATTATGTGTAAATTAAAGACTGGATGTACATCCACAAATATTTGCAAATACTAATTCCACATTTCCCTATTTAGAGTGTTTTGGTTTGCAGAAAAATGCAAACTCAGACACTTTCTTGTACTGTTTATTTCGGTAATACAAGAATGGCTTTAGAAATATTTCATTTTGGTGACATGCTTTTTAGACATGCATAATTTCATGACATAGTAATTCAGCTTTACTGGCAAACCGGAGGTTTAGCCAACCCCTTATAAGAGATATGGACACATAGATAAATTGTAAAAACAAAATATACGGAGACACAACGTATCTCATAAAACCCTTTTGTTTATATTTTTAAAGTATATAATTTATAAGATAATACTATACATTTTCAACTTTTTTGTCATTTATGAGTAACAATATACAAATAAAAATGTATAGCACTAATAAAAGAACTAGTTACCATTTTAATGAGATGTATGATGTTGATGGAATGAACACAGCTTTTGAATATTTGGGGGAATATTAGATAAAGATACTCAGATGTTGTCACCAGGCATTTTTGAGCTTCCACATTTTAGTGGTATTTTTTATTTCACATAGGGGGTTCTCGTTACGTTTTTGTGACACACTTATACATCGCAGCCAACATTTTGGAAAGTTCTGATATAGGTGCTTACATACTGATGGCATGGATTGTGTTTACACCTTCAAATCATTTTCAACTTACGGTGACTCTAAGGTGAACCTAGAACCAGTGTGGTATAGTGATTTGGACACTAGATTGTGATTGAATTGTGACTCTGGAGACAAGAGTTCAAATCCCTGATTGGTCATAAAAGCCACTAGATGACCTTGGCCAAGTCACACCCTCTCAATCTCAGAGGGAAGCAGTGGCAAACCACTTCTGCAGACATTTTGCCAAGGATATCTCATATATTAGTCTGCTTTAGGGTAGTCATAGGCTGGCAATTATTTGAAGACACACAACAACAACAACAAGACTAGCCCATAATATGGTTTCCTTCAAAAGATATATTCACAGGGAACTTGACTTTGCCTTCCCCTGAGGCTGAGAATGTGCAGCTTGCCCTGGGTTGACTCACTGGGTTTCCATGACTGAGCAGGGATTTGAACCTTGCTCTTCAAAGTTGTAGTCTAATCTGCAAATCTTTATACCACACTGGCTCTCCATGACATGGATATCGTACTCCAAAATACACATATCTGAAAAAATCATTGAAATCTGCAAAATCCCATGCTAATATAAATTAATTTTAAATGTATGTTTAGATTCCCTCACTTTGCCCTTTTATACTAGTGGAACTATCTCTTGAAAATGTAAAAATAAGTCAGTGTTATGTTGTGGAAGGCTTTCATGGCTGGGTTGCTGTGAGTTTTCCTGGCTGTGTGGCCATGTTCCAGAAGCATTCTCTCCTGAAAGCTTCTGGAACCTCCTCAACCTCTGAGGATGCCTGCCATAGATGTGGGCGAAACATCAGGAGAGAATGCTTCTGGAACATGTCCATACAGCCCAGAAAACCCATAGCAGCCCAAAGTCAGTGATACTTTTCTTTGGAGGAATCATATCTCTGTTCAGTATTCTATCATCAAGTTGTCAGGGGAAAACACAATATGGTATTTTCCATCCCAGACAATATTCCTCTTTCCATCCCAGATTGTGGCTGCATGAAATACAGAAAAGGGAGCCATGACTGTTTCTTATACCTTGAAAGTGGCCAATGCTCGCTTTGGAGGCTTCTCCAAGCTGCTCTTCCGTTGGAAAGGAAGCATCTACAAGCTGCTTTACAAGGAGTTCCTTGTCTTCGCCTTGCTGTATGCAGCCCTCAGTGTCACCTACCGGTGAGTTGGCAAGCTCCATTAATATATACAATTATTAATTGTTTGTTAAAACTTAGGATTTTTCAGACTACGACTCTTAATCTTAAAAACTTGCAAGTGTTTTTCTTTCAGTGTCCTTTATTATAAGCAAAGTCTAACCAATGACTTCCCCTTTATTTTTTAATTTTGTTTACTTTCAAAAGGGATATTTTAAATGTAGAGTTCCAATATAAGAAAAGCAGGAAAATGCAAAAGGAGATAAAGTAAACACACTAATAAATAATAAATGCTGTCCAAATGTCAAAATATAAATCCATTTGTAAATTCCATTTATATATCATTCTTTCAAGTGTTACAAAGGCTGTTAGATCTTCCATCCGTTGGACTGCAGATATTGCCAATATAGTATATTACAGGGATGGGCAAACTTGGGCTCTCCAGGTGTTTTTGACTTCAACTCCCACAATTCCTAACAGTCTCAGCATGGAAAACCAAAATACATGGATGCTCAGGTCCCATTATATATAGTAATGTGGTAAAATGTATCCCTTATACAAATTGGCAAAATCATTGTTTTTATTTTTATTTTTTTGCTTTTTAGATTTAATTTTTTAAGGGCCTATTGTAACAGGCCCATTAAAATTGCAGTCAAAGACTAATACCATCTTTTTTCCTCCTTCCTGCAGGTACCTTTTAAATGAGAACCAGAAACGTTATTTTGAGATGGTGTCAAAGTACTGCGACAAGTCTACTAACCTAATTCCTCTGTCTTTTGTCCTAGGTACCATTTCCATACATCCTCTTGAATGCATGTCTGACTGTAGTTTCTTGCTTCTTTGCTCTTTTTCAAGTAGGAGGAAAGGGTCCCATTAATCTTTGATTCCTCAGAAGGCTACATTGCCTTCTGCAGATAATAGAGTGCCTCTTTTGCATGCAGGTTCAGTGTCTGGCATTGCTAGTGACAGGCATTAGATAGGAGGTGATGTGAAAGGTGGATCTTTTGGGGCCATAATTCTGGAGAGTTGCTACCAGTAACTCACACTACAATATTGATCTAGAGCGGGTGTTTTGGACTTCATCTCCCACAATTCCTAACAGCTGGTAAGCTGGCTAGGATTTCTGGGTGTTTAGGTCCAAAACAACTGGAGGACCAAAGTTTGGGAATCACTGGTCTAGATGGACAAATAGCCGGATTCAGGTTAAACATCCCTTATCCAGAATCCCAAAATCCGAAATTATCCACATGAGTGGCTGAGCCAGTGGTATCTTGGATTTCTGATGGTTCAGTGAACACATACATTGTTTCATGTACAAAATTATTTATAATAGTTCATATAAAACTACCTTCAGTCTATGTGTACATTATATATAGGAATCATAGATGTTGCAAATGTGAGTAGATGTGAGTAGATGAAGATGCAAATGTGAGTAGATCAATAGGTACCACTCCTGCGGGAAGGTAACAGCGCTCCATGCAGTCATGCCAGCCACATGACTGGCGGTGTCTACGAACATTGGCGGTGTCTACGAACAACACTGGCTCTTTGGCTCAGAAATGGAGATGAGCACCAACCCCCAGAGTCGGACATGACTGGACTTAATGTCAGGGGAAAACCTTTACCTTCCTAGTTCAAAATGGTTCAAGGATGCAAATTTCCCTGATGGCTCTGTCCTTAGTGCAGTGGTTCAATCTTCCACTGTTTCTTTTAGAAAACTCACTCCAATCTCAAGGGATCTCTGTGCACAGAAGGAACCAAAATAAACCTGTGCCCTTGGAGACAAAAGCATTCATTAATGAGGAGGGTGTGGATGAGGAGAAAGGATTTTCAAGTGGTTCACAGAATAAAAAAAGGAAGTGAAGGACCAGGAAATAGATAGCTAAAATGAAAAGGGAAGTGACAGCTTGGCAGGTAAAACAATTTATGTCTAAATGATGTACAGCTAATGCAGCAAAAATGCAAAATGAACCTGCTTGACTCTTCAGTGTAAAGAGACTGTGCCAAGACTGTATCTTGTTTTTCCTCAGGAGTGGAAAAAAGCCTCTATCACAAACCCCTGCCTAGGTTGATGGGCTTGAAATCTATTATCTCTCTGAAACCTGTCATATTTTGACAAGTCTTTTGCAAAATATGCTCTTCATGGGAAAGGTCATCTACAATAAACTGAAGCTTTCCCATCCAAACAGTTCTGAGTTATCAAGAGTTTATTCGCTATTCCTAGAATGAATGAGTCAGACGGAAAGGACTCCACAATGTCAACAATTCCTTCTTTTATCCTTTGATGAAACCTGTATCATACTTTGGAAAACAGAACATGGGCATATTTGATACAAAACCTTTAAGAAAGATGGGGTGGGGGAGAACCCTTATTAGCTTTCTGTTTAACTTTTTATGGTTTAAATTAGATAAGAAGGGTTGCTTTTACCCCATTGCTTTATCTCACTTGCCCCGAAGTTCATATTTTTGTTTCCATTGTAGCTGCAAGGCAGACTGCACTGGTGAAAAGCCTTGGAAGTTAGACCCTGATGCATCAAAAGGGTTTTTTGAAAATTCAAATGACACTTCTTGTTCCATTGTATTCCCTGTTCCATGTAAACAAGAATCTGACAATCTTTTAATTTAATTTTGTTTTGCTTTTTTTGGTCAATTAATTATAAAATTGAAATTTGTTTTCAACTTTGTAAATGTTGAAAATAGCAACCTTCTTCAAGCTTACTGCATTATATATGTTTGTATTGGTGTGCAATTTTCCTTAACTCTTAAGTTGTGGGAGAGGCTGCAGACCATGTTATCAGAACTGGGACTTGTTCAGCTCTGACTCCATTTTAGATCTCAGACTCCATTGGACTTTCAGACTAGACAGAGACTTTATTAGGCTCTCAGAACAGAGAGATTCTTTAGACTTAAGATTCTAAGAAAGATGCCCTGTGTTATCTATACAGAGAAACTACTTCAAATACTATCTATAACTTCAAATCCTATCTATAACTTGATCCTGTAAGTATGCTGTATGCTGAATACATGAAGTTTGTGATTAAATTAACTATGTTATTTAAAGAAGTCTAATTATTTTTGATCTCTTGAAAGCATGATTTAAGTCAAGATGTTTTAAGGGAGAGTAGATATTTTTGGGCAACTGAAACAAATACTTTTGAAAATCTGCAATATATATATAAATATGTTTGTTTTTTTGTTCATTGGCATATCTTTGTCCCTAACAATTCAAAGAGATATCTAGGTACATCAGTTTAACAGCTGAGAAACCTAATTGCCTTACATGAATACTAGTGGATATTTTCCACTAAGAAGGTTAACTCAAACAAGTTTTTAACTCTTCTCAGGGAGATTCCGAATTTTCCCTAAATGGTGGTGAATGCCATTTTCCAAAAGGTTATAGAGATTTCCATTTCCCAAAAGGTTATGGCATCATTTTTCTGAAAGGTTATGCTTTCTAACAAGGTCATGCCTTTCCAAAAGTAAATGGATTATATAATATGCAAAACATCTTTTAGAACTTTCCAAGAAGAAAAGTAAAATGAAAGCCCCTTTCCACACTATAGAGGAACTATAGTTTTAATTTAGAAATCATTAAACCAAATATTGAAATATTAACATTATTACCTAATATTTTAACAAATTAAAATGCTTTGTGAAATGATTAACAATTAAAACTAGTGATGCCATGGGCAGATCATTTTGGTTCCTACTATTAACATGGTTCAATGGCAGTAATTCATAAATTGGATTACTTCATGTCAACCTCACACTGAGTACAATTCCTCTTTACTCAGCACTCTTAGAAGCTCCTTCTGCGTCTTTCTTGGCAGGTTTCTATGTCACATTAATTGTGAACCGTTGGTGGGCCCAGTATACCAGCATCCCGCTGCCAGATCAGCTGATGTGTGTCATTTCCAGCAATGTGCATGGAAGAGATGAGAAGGGACGGATCTTGCGACGTACTCTCATCCGTTATGCCAACCTCTCATCTGTGCTCATCCTGCGTTCAGTCAGCACCAGGGTACTTAAGAGGTTTCCGACTATGGACCATGTGGTGGAAGCTGGTGAGGCTCTCTCTGGGGTAGAAATAGGCATTAGAGGGACGGAGCAGGCAGCCCAGACTGGGAGCAGATGTTGCGATGCCTTTGCTGCTAGGGAACATGACAGAAATTGATTAAAGCCAATTCTCCGAAGGAAGGTGATTCTAAGGCTAATGATTACAGGTTGAGCTTCTCTTATCCAGAATTCTGAAATCCAAAATACTCCAAAAAAGTGTCCATCTGGGTGGCTGAGATAGTGACATCTTTGCTTTCCGGTAGTTCAATACATACAAACTTTGTTTCACAGGCAACATTATTAAAAGTGTTATGTATAAATTTTCCTCCAGGTTACATGTATAACATATAAAAAATATAAATGGATTTTCTGTTTAGACTTAGGTCCCATCTCCAAGATAACACATTATCTAGATATATGCAAACACAGGTTGAGCATTTCTTATCTGGAATACAAAATACTCTGAAATCCAAAATTGTACACCTGGGTGGCTGACATAGTGACACCTTTGTTTTCTGATGAGCCAATATACACAAATATTGTTTCATATGCAATATTATTAAAAGTTTGTTGTTGTTCATTCATTCAGTCATCTCCGACTCTTCGTGACCTCATGGACCAGCCCACGCCAGAGCTCCCTGTCAGCCGTCACCACCCCCAGCTCCTTCAAGGTCAGTCCAGTCACTTCAAGGATGCCATCATCCATCTTGCCCTTGGTCGGCCCCTCTTCCTTTTTCCTTCTACTTTCCCCAGCATAATTGTCTTCTCTAGGCTTTCTTGTCTCCTCATGATGTGGCCAAAGTACTTCAACTTTGTCTCTAGTATCCTTCCCTCCAATGAGCAGTCGGGCTTTATTTCCTGGAGGATGGACTGGTTGGATCTTCTCGCAGTCCAAGGCACTCTCAGAACTTTCCTCCAACACCACAGTTCAAAAGCATCGATCTTCCTTCGCTCAGCCTTCGCTAAGGTCCAGCTCTCACATCCGTAGGTTACTACAGGGAATACCATGGCTTTGACTATGCGGATCTTTGTTGCCAGTGTGATGTCTCTACTCTTTACTATTTTATCAAGATTGGACATTGCTCTCCTCCCAAGAAGTAAGCGTCTTCTGATTTCCTGGCCACAGTCTGCATCTGCAGTAATCTTCGCACCTAGAAATACAAAGTCTGTCACGGCCTCCACATTTTCTCCCTCTATTTCCCAGTTGTCAATCATTCTTGTTGCCATAATCTTGGTTTTTTTTGTTTAGCTGCAACCCGGCTTTTGCGCTTTCTTCTTTCACCTTGATTAGAAGGCTCCTCAGCTCCTCCTCGCTTTCGGCCATCAGAGTGGTGTCATCTGCATATCTGAGGTTGTTAATGTTTCTTCCAGCAATTTTCACCCCAGCTTTGCATTCGTCCAGCCCCACACATCGCATGTGTTCTGCATACACGTTAAAAAGGTTGGGTGAGAGTATGCAGCCTTGCCGTACGCCTTTCCCAATCTTGAACCAGTCTGTTGTTCCGTGGTCATTATTAAAAGTATTCTGTATTAAATCACATTCAGTTATGTGTATAAAGTGTGTTTGAAATTAATGAATTTAGTGTTTCAACTTGGATCTCATCTGCAAAATATCTCATTATGTATGAATTTGCAATTTGGGTATTCCAAACTCTGGGAAAAAAAAATAAAAAATGTAAAACACTTCTGACCTAAAACATTTCAGATGAGGGATGTTCATACTGTACTCATATAATATTAGATGTTTATGTACGCATGCAGACAGCTTGTATTATTATATATTATGCAGATTGCTTCTCACAGTCAATGGGGCAAAGTCTGATTGTACCAATAGAAGGCCTTTCTGTTAAGCCCTAGAAACCAAAACAAGAACTATCAAGCAGGAGGTAGGCAAATGTCCCTCTCCCTCTTACAGGTTTCATGACACAAGATGAACGCAAGAAGTATGAGAGCCTCCATTCAGACTTCAACAAATACTGGATCCCCTGTGTTTGGTTCACCAATCTTGCAGCCCAGGCGCGCCGAGATGGGAGGATCCGGGATGATGTGGCCCTACGATTGCTCATGGATGTAAGTCACAGGAACATGGAAGGGACCACCTGACAAGGTTGTGTTTTTCTTTCCACCTAACTAATTTAATATTTGACAGTTGGAAATTTAAACTTGAACAAATCTAGGGAATTAACATACCATATTATTTTTCTTGCACAATATTTATAGAGTTCTTAAAGAAATGTTCTAAGCTGGTGGATAGTAAAAAATAAAATATATATTGAAAGCCTTAAAATCTAAAATATAACAATATTACAAATATGGAACTCACATATTTGTGAGAGTTTCATATTCACAATCTCTATATCTTGCTTACTTTAGAAGATATGGAAAACCAGTGAAAGTTCCCCATTTACTTCAGTTGACTAGGGCCTGTTCCCCTGTTGATCAGGAAGCAGAAGACTGATGCTACATTCTTTGCATTCAGCTTGGCTCTGTAGCATTTAGGTAACCATTAAAGAAACTTTCATTAAAGGTGGTATAAGTCAGTGATAGTTTATGGCTATGAAAGGTATTTTTACTTGTTGCCTTTACCAGTCTGAGTTTTAACCTCAAGAAACCTATCTATGTTGGGGGAAAAACACAAACATCACATTTCTAGAATAATATAAGTGGAAAAGACACAAGACCCATTCAATCCAACTTCTTGCTGTGCAGGAATATACCATGAAAACACTCCCAGCAGATGGAGCCATAGTGGTGCAATGGGTTTAACCCTTGTGCCGACTGCACTGCTGACCTGAAGGTTGGGTTGCTGACCTGAAGGTTGCTAGTTCGAATCCGTAGTGAGCTCCCATCTGTCACCTCTAGCTTGGGGTGACATGAGAGAAGCCTCCCAGCAGGATGGTAACAACACATCTGAGTGTCCCCTGGGCAACATCTCTGTCGACAGCTAATTCTCTCACACCAGAAGAAACTTGCAGTATGTTCTCAAGTCACTTCTGACATGATAAAAAAACTCCCAACAGATGGCCATCCAGCCTTTGCTTAAAAACCTCTAGAGAAGAAGGTGCCATCACACTCTGAGTCAGTGTGCAGCCCTGTTGAACAAATCTTACTGTCAGGAAGTTCTTCCTAACATTTAGATGGAACCTCTTTGCTCCATATCTAAGCCCCTGGAATAACAGAAATCAAGTTTGTTTCATCTTCAAAATGACATCCCTCCAAATATTTAAACATGGCTGCCTTAGGCAAGACAAATTAATCTATTTGAAAACCATAAGTATTTTTAGTTTAACAAAGTCCATAGATGGAAGGATGATGGGTCAGAAGCAGTCTTTGATGTCAGGGGGAGGTGAGTTCACTTCTGGTTTTAACCCAGGTTTTACTGGAGCTGTCCAGTGTGTGAAATTCAATCCTTAAAATTGGCTGGACCTTATACTGCTCTTTCAAAACGTTTCAGAACCTGAAATGGATTCAGAACCCACCTGAAGTGGGGTTTACCAACCATTACTGGTTCCTATACATGGATTTTACTGATGTAACATGTTTTGTAGAATCTAGCAAGAGAAATCTGTTTGCTGTCTGTGTCAGCTTTTAAGGATCTGCTTCTTTCTTTTCAGGAGCTAAACCTGTACCGCTCCAAATGCAGCATGCTTTTCCATTATGATTGGATCAGCATCCCCCTTGTGTACACACAGGTCAGTAAGGAATGCCTTTGGGCTGTCCTAATATTAACCTCTCTTTAACAATTGTTTCAGTAGGCTACATGCGTATCTTCCCATGTTAAATGGCAATTCATATTCTATATCAATGGTTCCCAAGCTGTGGTCCGTGGCCCACCAGTGGTCCCTAAGAATGAAAATATGGTCCGCAACCATATCATTACTACACTGTTGCCTCGAAACCACGCAGCAACAAGAGTGACTGGTCTTGTGAAACCTTATAGTGCTGAGGCAATGCAGATGTCAGAGGCTGACTATCCATGAAATAGTATTGCTACCACACCAGCTCTAGATTATTAAATATGGTTTTTTGTGGGCAAGCAGATGGCAACTACTGGATGCCCTATGTTCTGTATCAGAAACTAGAGCTGATGCAGTTTTCTGAATCAGCATCTCAAATAACCAAACCGAATCTAAAGTTGACCAAAAACTGATTCATAATCCTTTTGGTGCTAATGTTGGAGAGTGGTCTCTGGTAAAAAAAAAAAAAAAAAGGTTGGGAACCATTTTTTCTATATGCTTGACTTCATGTGTCTCCCCAGCACAACCCTACAACATAACATTCTTAGGTATTGGGAATTCCCTTAGGTCTCCATACAATGAGGCAAATTCCAGGTCTTAAAAGCTTTGTTGTAAGTGGCTTTAAACCTTGGGCACATATCTCTACTCATTCCCAAGGGGCACCAATAATGACTAACAAAGCATTAGGGAAGCTTTTCTTTCCATTGTGCCAGTGTCCATGTACCAGCACATCAAAACTCCAAAATAGATATGGATGGTTGTTGTTTTTGTTAGAGGTCTTCAAATCAAAGTTGCTCTTTCCTTAGCTAGCCTGCTCAGGTCTTGTAATCTCAGGGCTGTGGCTTGATTGAATCTGTCAATCTTGAATTTTGGCCTCCTCCTTTCTCAATTGCTTTCTACCATACCAAGCATGATTATCTTTTCTACTTCTTCTTCTGTCCAAAGTTTTAGTCTCAGTTTAGTCATCTTAGCCTCTTGGGAAAGTGTGGGCCTGATTTGCTCTAGGACCCATTGATTTGCCTTTTTTATTAGTCCATGGTATCTTCAGAACTCTTCCTCAACACATTTCAAATGAATTTACTTTTTCAGTTTTCTTCAGTCTGGCTTTTACAGCCATACATAGAAATGGGAAATACGACATCATGGGCCTCCTTATCTTTAACATTCAGTGATGTATCTGTACACTTTAGGATCTTATTTAGTTCTTTCATAGCTGCCATTCCAAGTTCTAGTCGTTTTCTGATTCCTTGAATGCAGTCTCCACTCTGATTTATGACTGTGTCAAAGTATGGAAAATATCAAAACATTGCACTATGTAACAAAAAAATTTAAAATCTGTTCCTTGTTTGAAAGTGTTATTTCTTGTTTAATTATGCAGTACTTACTTTGAAAGTAGTTGTTATACTCCAGAAACTTCATTTTCGTGGATGCCACAAATTATGTTGAATTGGTTGAGACTCTGAGGTATTCATTGAAAAAATGTAGCAAAATGTTTTGGATAATGGAAATCATAATCTTTTGGAGATTGTATGATCTTTGGGAAAGTATGACCTTGTTAGAAGTCATAACCTTTTGAAAAATGATGCCATAACCTCTTGGTAAAAAAGTATGACCTCTAACATAACCATATTCATCATACAGGTACTTTGCATATCAGTGCAGTTACATATAGGATTTGAAGTAGTTTCTCTGTGTAGATAACACAGGACATCTTTCTTAGAAACCACATTCCATCATCTGAAACAGTGGTTCCCATCCTTTTTTTGACCAGGGACCACTTTGATCAGGGACCACTCTCCAACATTAGTACTAAAAGGGTTACAAATCACTTTTTGGTCAACTTTAGATTTGGTTTGGGGTGCTGATTCAGAAAATTGCATTGGATGGACTACATCAGCTCTAGTTTCTGATACAGAATATATGCCATGGTCAGCGACAGGGAAGGAATGGCAGGCGGCGCAAAAGGAGTGGAAATAAAACAAATACAATAAAGAGGAAGGAGATTTACGGGCCATATTTTTGTCCTCATGACCCACTGGTAGTCCATGGTCCACAGGTTAAGAACCACTTATCTAAAGCATCTCTCTGTTCTGAGAGTCTCTGTCTAGTCTGAAAGTCCAATGGAGTCTCTAAGCATATGGTTTCTACTGAAGTCTAAAGCATACTGTTCCTTCTGGTGTCTGAAAGCAAACTGTTACTAAAATGGAGTCTGAGTCCTGAACAATCCCAGTTCTGATCATATAGTCTGCAGCCCCTCCCACAACAAAGAGGGCCTTTGCTTGGGGACCCCTGCCTTAGACTGCTGGTGTTCTTTCCTCCAGTTTTAATGCCTGCTTTATGTATTTTTTAAAGAGAGAAAGAGATCTGTTTAAAATATTGTTTATAACAGAAGGTAAACAGGGCAATAAAATATAGCCTTGCCTGACCTCCTTGACAACTGGAAACCATTCCAATTTATGTGTTCTGTTCTAACAGTATAATCTTGCCCTGATTAAACTATTCTCTCTTTTCAATATGCCATGTCTATATATTGCCTTGAGGGTGGAAATCTCAACACTACTCCATATGGAGAGAGAGATCCCAACGGAAGATTGTATCATTCTTGAGCACACGTTTTTACTGTAGCCTCTTTAGCAACCAACCTATTAAATTAAATTCTAAGTGCAAAAGAGCCTGACACACTCTTATGAAACATTGAAAAGATCATATACATAAGGAATTTGGCTCTGTTGCTATAGTTGTGAAATTGCACTGCTTTTACAGTGATTGGGTGTGTTAGCCATTAACATCACAAATGCCATGTACAACTGAAAAATAACTACTAAAGTGTATGTGTGCGCAATGTTGTAAGATTAACAGATATTAATACCACTTTCTTTACAGGTGGTTACCATAGCTGTCTATTCCTTCTTTGCTTTCTGTGTTGTTGGGCGGCAGTTTTTACCAGATGAATCAAACCTAGACCTGTATGTTCCTCTTCCCACACTCCTCCAGTTTTTCTTCTATGCTGGCTGGCTGAAGGTGAGAATTTTGACCATCACGATGTGCTTTTTAGTAATTGTTAGCTCAACCATGTTAGTCTTTTTAAACCAAATCAAAATGCAATGTCCTATTCATTTTTGACAGGATAAGCTACATGAAACATTGATTTTGAATCACATGGCAGAAAGGACCTGAAAGGTGTATTTTTGTTTTGTTGGAGCATGCAAGGAATCAGTGAGATAGTGTGTGTCAACTGTAAAATAAGATGCATGAAGCTGATTGGTCGGGCAATGCCAGGGGAGCAGGCTGAGCCTGAAACTTTTGGATACGGTTACATTTTTGTTTGGAGAGAAGCAGAGAGGGAGAGTTTGGAGTGTGCTCTCGCTTTATGAACTGCAGAAGTAATTTATCCACATGGACAAAGAAAGATCATATTAAATCTCTCATAAAAGAACATTATGTGAGTTGATGCAACTGATCAGATAATCAGTTATATGTTGTTCTGAATTACAAAGGGTAAACTACTTGTTTTTTATTGTTCATCTATGTGGTATATTTTCTTTCTCTGGCAAGGCAGTGCTGTTGAGTTTTCCGGGCTGATCCAACGTGAACTACACATGGTTTATCTTACATTACACAACTTTTTTCCTTTGTTAATTGTATTTTTAATCCATGTGGTTTTCAAATAGAATTTATTTTTAACTTATGTCCATTTTTTACATTCAAAGCCAGGAAGAAAGCTGGATGCAAGTTGAGTGAACAGGTTATTTGAACAAGCTCTGTTGAGTATTCCCATGCCATATCTTTGTCATCCATTAGGTGGCAGAACAAATAATTAATCCATTTGGGGAAGATGATGACGATTTTGAAACTAACAGACTGATAGACAGAAACCTTCAGGTGAGTCACATACAAATGGTCAAGGAAAGAAACGTGCCAGCCAATCCTGGCACACATTGTATCCAACACAAAATCTGACATCTTGGGAGACTGAATTGGTATTTGTAAACAAACCATGTTTTATGATCCATGGTACAAAAATAATTCAGGCTGTAGTTGGTACCAGCTGGTGCCTATGACAAAAAATTTGACAAGTGAGACAGAATGTATTTTATTATGCATATAGTTAACAGATCCTAGTTTTAAAGACTAAAAATTGCCTCCTTTCACAATGCAATTGCTATAGCACTCAATTTCTTAGCACGGACCATCAGTCTTTACTGCTGGATCACACTATGTCAAAAGGACTGGACATGGACGTTTCCCTCACATTTGTATTTATATTGCTCAGCTACTTTCTACTTTTATAAGCTTCTAGACCAGGGTTTTGCTTTGAATTTATCTAGTTACTTGCTTGGTATTTTTTAATCCTTGATCTTAAGAATCTGATATTTAAACACAATGTTCAATACACTCACCAATTTTGTCTAGCTTTTCCTCCAATATTAAACTTTGGTCTGCTTAGGTGTCTCTGCTTTCGGTGGATGACATGTACCAAAACCAACCTCCCATTGGAAAGGACAAATACTGGAATGAGACTGCAGCACAACCTCCATATACAATAGCCACAGTTGCAGAGACCTTGAAGCCTTCCTTCATGGGCTCTACATTTGACATGCGGTGAGTTCAGCTGGCAAGCTAAATGAAGTTGTATATTGAGCAGCTCAATCCTGTTCACCTACCTCAGTGGTCCTCAACCTGTGGGTCCCAGGTGTTTTGGCCTTCAACTCCCATAAATCCCAACGGCTGGTAAATTGGCTGGGATTTCTAGGCCAAAACACCTGGGGACCCACAAGTTGTGAACCACTGACCTACCAGAACTAGAAATGCTGGCAAACGTTCCCTTTCCCTAGCCACCAACTGCTCCAGAAGACTTGGTGATGGTGAAAGGTTTGGCAATACTTTGGATCACAATATGAGACAGCCATGTGACAGTGTATTATATGAGCAGTTTCTTTTCCCTTTGTGGAAAGGACTGAACTATGAAAATTGTGAGACCTGTTGCTGTGATTAAAAAAACTTTTAATTTTAAAAAGCTTTCCAAAAATGTACAGAAATTACCTGAATATATAGCTGAGCACAAAATCAGTCTGAAGCACCTAGAGGAACTGGCAGTGTTGTACCTAAAAACAAATCCCAAGGCCTTTCACTATAACCATAGCTAGATTGGCTTGCCACAGAAAAACCGCCACTGTTCAAATGGTATGGATGTTTGGGTTGCTGTTGAGTTTTCCGGCCTATAGGGCTGTGTTCCAGAAGAATTATCTCCTGACGTTTCACCTACATCTATGGAAGGCATTATTAAGAGATTGTGAGATCTCTTGGAAACTAGGCAAGTGGGGTTTATACATCTGTGAAACGTTTAGGGTGGGAGAAAAAACAGTATGGATCTTGTCTAAACTGATATAGTTTATTATTAAATACAATGCCTTGTCTTTGAAATATGGCACAATATAAAATTAAAATTTTGAAGTTCCATTTCTTTTCCTCCTTGTGCAGGATGAGTGATGACCCAGAGCAGAGTCAGCAAGTGGAAGCATCTCCGAGCATGAGTCGCATTCAAACTCCACTGCTCAACCGCTTCCTCACTGCAGCTGCCTCCCCAGCAGTCAGCCTCAAAAACTTTGGCAAGAGTGGTCGAATTCAGCACGCTCAACTCCTGCGTTTGAGGAATGAGAACAGCTTGCCTCCTACCAGCCCCAGCTTTTACCGAAGGGAAGACCCAGAGATGGTTGGCCGCATAGATGAGGAAGAGATGGAGGATGAAGAAATTGGGCTTAGTGAATCCCCTGTACCCAACTCCTACAACCCAGAGAGCACAAAGATGCAGGCAAATGAACTGCCTGTTATTACAGTGATGGAGGTCCTAGATACTGTCACTGACAAGCCTTCTGGCTGAAACCAGCAGTAGCAAGGCCTTTTGCTTAACTATCTAAGCAGCTGATCAAGATAGATGAACAAGTAGGACAGAAATGTTAAAAGCTGGATTTATTGCAGCCGCTCCCTCAGAGGTTCCTCACTGAATATACAAGTGTTTTTTCCCCTCTAAGCTACACACTTCTACTACATAGAGAGGGAGCTATGATGGGCTACAGCTTTACTAGCATGTGGTGGAGCTACTTTGTGTTATAAACCATGTATTTCTGTGTTTATATTCCCAGACTATATACAATTGCTTTGTAAACTCGTGGGTGAACAATACTGTCATACAAGCCAGCTCCTCCCCCAAAAATTTGAATATGCAATGCTACAGAATTTCAGAAGTCTTCCAACATTTCTGTTCCCCTGAACTGAGATACTGTCTTATATTCTACACATTTTTATCGCATTAGTTTTACATGCTGTATAAATCAATCTTACCCAGTAGTGAAATGAAGTCAAACTGAACTATATGATTAAAATGAGATACAATTTTAGATGGTCTCTAATGTGTCTGGTTAATCTTAGGCTGGGATTTGAGAGAATAAGGTTCTAATCTCCACGAAAGCATGAAGTTCACTGTAGTTTTATACCAGTTGCTCCTTTCCAGCCTTGCATACTTCATATAATTGTTTCTCAAGCTCACTAGAGAAGAGGCAGGATATAAATGCAGCTAAAGAAATACCTAATTAAATTTAATTTGAACAGATCTGAAACTCTACTTTAAAATTATTTTATTGAAATACATGTAATTAACTTTATTAAAGGATATTGCTGACCACTTCTAAAGCAGGCAGTTGACATTTAGACTGAGCCACCTTTGGGACCCAGATAAACCCATTGTATAGGTTTGCTATACATAGGAATGCAAAATATTAGCACTTGGAAATCTTTTGAGGTGCTTCTGTGGGTCTCCAACTCACAACAGATCCAGGTCCCTATGTGTATCAACAGCTACTCCAAAATAAACATGTTCCATGTTAAAAAAAATGTACCCAGCCTTCGAAAGGACCAGACCTTTGGAAAGAGGCCTAGCCCTTCTGCTAGAAGGGAGTTTATCTTGCACTAGTTAAAATGAAGACCAGAAGGCTATGGAAGAGACAATCTGGTCATTGGCAGTGCAGCAGCAGTTCTAGTCAGTGACTATATTTAAATGTGGTGCAAACCATGTAGAAGCGGTAAACAGTAAGTTCCATTCACACCATCCCCATGGCCCACAATGAGAAAAAAAACTAGTGATCTTCTTCTGCATTACATCTTTCTCAGATGGTTAAAATATTCTAAGTATCTGAAGAGTTGAGCAATGCATACTTTCTAGGTTTTCTGGAAGCCTATGGACTCAACATTGCCAACTGTCAACGGGTATTTCTAAACAGACAATACCAAGCTCGTATTAAAGGAGAACTGGGAGAACAGAACATAGCATCAGTATGGGAGTATAACTATCATGAGGGGCTACTGCAGCAATATTATAGAGTGGAGCACTTGAACTCCATTCATTGTTGCCAGTTTGTTCTGCAAGGGCAACGTTTTTGAATCTCTTACCATCATAATAGCAAATGAACTAATTTGCTATTATGTCTAAGCTTGTCTATGACAAGGTTACTCCTCTCCCTCCCCCTCTTCAGCTCGATGTTCATAAATAATCACAGAAAATCATGTATAACAAGACTCTGGGATATTTATTTAGCCCATTAATTTAAGTGGCTGTTCATTTGCCTCTCCTGGCCTTGATCTTCCTCAGATAGAATTCGAGTTCTTTGCCTTCTAGAAGGTAGCCATCTGCTCGGCCACACTGTCCAGGCCTGGAGGCAATGCAAGCTGCAAAAAATGAAAGATTATTAGAAAGAGGGGAATAAATCACCAAAAAATTTCACTGAGGAACTTCCCACCCCCCTTTCATCCATGAAAAAATAAAACAAAAACCCAAACATACCAAGACCACCCCATTGGTGAAGTCACCTTCAGAAACCAATTGTCACCACTTCCATTCAGTAGCAGAACTGGGCAAATTTCTCATCATAAGGTCAACTTCGTAATTTTACTGATTTGTGCAAAACACCTGAATTTCTTCAAATGTGCAAAGTATATCCAGAAAAGGCTTGTTACCACCTGTCTCCCCCGACTGCTCACATTTAGCTACTGCTACTCCCAGGAACTAATCCAAATAATTGCCTGTCCCTCTTTCCAGTGCCAGGTTAGATATGCTGCAGAGCACTAATCGTTCTCTTAGAAACCAGAAGAAACTGGTTACAACTTTGTTCCATCTCTAAGTGACTAGCATGCTCCCACCTCACCACTCAGTCTGCTGGCTGTGAGTATTCCGTTGTCCCTGGCTAGTTCACTTTTTGGGTCTGGGACTCACCAAGCAGCTTTCCTTGCTGGAACTGCTCTTCCAGAAGACTACTAATCTTGGCATTCTTTTTCCGCTCATCATACTTCTTCTGAATTTTCTTTGAGCGCTTTTTGTTTAAGATTTCTTCCTCCTCGGGTGTCTGAAAAGGAGAATAAGGAAAACTGAATGAGTTCATATACTGTTTGAATATTACACACTTATGTTTTATCATTTAACCCAAGCACCTGTATTTGCTGGAAAGGGCAACAGGCAGAAACACAGCTCTAACTTATATCATACAAACTGTACAACAGTATTATCTGCTATGTTATTTACTGGTTCAATAGGATTTCAAGCAGTGCACTGACCAGTAAGATTGCTCAGGCCAATGTTCACAAAAAAAGTTCATTTATTTAAGACATCAGCTTGCAATGAAATACTACACACCTATGGTTGGCACCTGGTGGTACCCAGGTATCAGTACACTAGCCAACACACATTTTCGCGTCTCAAATGTTAGCCTTATTTCTGGGTATATTTGACCTGGCAATTTTCCCCTATCAGCTCTAGTTTTTAAGATACAGAACATATGCCATATTCCAATCTTCTTCTACTTGCCCAGAGAAACTAATGATAACCATATTTAAGGAACTAGAGCTAATGCAGCCTATCCAATGCAATTTTCTGGATCAGGGCTCCCAAATTTCCTCAGGAGCAGGTCTAAAGAAATTGTTGTTGTTGGGCTGTGTTATCTTTTGATATTAGTGCTAACTTGAGTGGAGCTGCCATCCAATAATTGCAGGAGAGGACAAGTGTCCATTCCTGTTCTAAACAGGCCAGTGTCCCTAATGGAGGCTGGCCACTTGTCTTCTTCAGATACAAAAAGATGTCATCGCTCTCCATTCAGCAGCAGAACTGGACAAAGGTATCATCACCAGAAGACAAAGAAGCACCAAACCCAGGACATCACATCTGAATGAGTAAAACAAAAGTAGCAGCATAGAAAGGTATTAAGGGCAGCCTTAAGGCTGCATGTAGGCCAGAAAGATTGTTTCTGAGGTTCCCATTCCTCCAGATTTTGTGATTCCTGGCTGGGATTTCTGGGAGCTGAAGTCCAAAACACCTGAAGGAGCACAATTTAAAAAACACTGCTCTAGACTGCTTTTTTCCCAGCCCCAAAATATGAAATGACACTCCTTACCAGGCTTACAATTCAATTTGAAAGTAAACTGCACCCCTTCCCCTACTGTTTAGCACCTCTCTCACACAATTTTTTAACATTAGCTGTACCCTTCTAGCTTCTTGAACTTTTAGGGTTGGGGGCATTTCCGACAGTCAATGTGGCCCCTAGAGCCCAAGCATTGCCCATCCAGCCCAAATATCATCCTACGCCCCAGTTTCTCACTGATGGAAGCAAGATAGAGTTGGTTCACTTAATACATACCAGCTTGGCACCCTTTTTGCGGCCAAGGGGTAATGCATAGTGGGCTTCATACCACTGTCGGTATGGTGTGCTGTCAATGAGGACAATGCAGTTTTTTACCAGGGTCTTTGTGCGCACGAGCTCATTGTTGGAGGCATTGTACACTACATCAATGATTCTGGTTTTACGAGTACAGCCTGTAAAGAGCAAAATGTCTGTCATACCTTCTAGAAGCAAAGGATGAATTCATGGCAGATAAATCTTACAGCTATTTATGTCATTGATATTTTAAGTGTATAGCACTGGTATAGTAGTCATCCTAGAAATGTGGCAACATTTTGACAGCTTCTAGTCCTAAAAATCATCTCTTTAGAGAAAACAAGAGTGATCAACTATAATTCTGTCAAGAAACTGGGAAATTTTCAAAACATAAAGGTTAATCAACTTGTTTCATTCTACCAACTTAAAATGTCCATTTCACAATAGCTGAACAAGTTCAACCCCTAAAAAACCATCATCATACAAAGGCATCCTATGGACGTCTGCATGGGAGAAGTAACAGTATAGAAAGAAACTCATCTATTTTGTCCAATGTGCCTGTTTTTGGGAAACAAGAAAGTATCCTTTCAATGACACAAAAGTTTAACATCTTAGTGTCGATTTATATATTTTAGATTCATTGTTGCAGACACTCTCTGTAATAATAACATAGATTGTAGCTGAGAGACAAGGCCTCTGGGAGACCAGGCTTTGAATCCCTGCTCAGTCACAGAAATCCACAGGTGTCCACTGGCAAGTCATACACTCAGATTCAGAAGGCCATGGCAAAACTTGCCAAGAAAGTCCAATGATATGGCTGCTATAAATGTGAAGCCACAGCAACCATTTTAAATATAAAGGACATGAACTGTGGAGCTACAAAATTAACACTAAGCAGTTCTCGATTTGGGGATCCATAGATCAATGGATGGGCTCAAAGTCACCTTGTTTTATTATTTTGAAAATCACGTTTCATTGCATTTTTTTCTAGAGAGCGCCCACAGATTTCATTAGATACTCAAAGTAGCCCAGGACACAAAAGGATTAAGAGCCATCAGACTAAGCTTTCAAGCAAAAGTAACAGAACATGGAAATATCAAAGTGATTAAATATAGAAGCAAACTTTCGGATTTTGTCTGAACACTGATGTGGGCTTTCCCTTAGAAATATACTCATAGAAAAGATAGCAAGCTATTCGCCCAAGCTCACCCCAGTCCTGACTCTTTAACACTGGTCTCGCAGCAACAAAGGACACAAACTCAGGGTAACTATGACACTCCCATCACTGAAAGCTGAGGAATTCACCAACAGCTCTCCTAAGGTCAAAGTTATCATCACTGTTGTTTTGGTTCCGTTTCCCAGATGGCTAAAGCCTCCCAGTATCCACTTTGCACTTACATTCAGATCCCCAAGAGAAGTTTCCAACATCCAGACGCAGAGCACGGTATTTTTTATTCCCACCACGTACCCTTACTGTGTGAATCCTCCGGGGGCCAATCTACAGAAGGAGCAACACAGTAAATTAGAATGCAGGGATTCAAAGTGAAATCTTCTTACAACTGCATGGCAACCTGATCAGTGTAACTATGACAACTCCTAGCATTGGTGAGTGTGATGAAGACCAGAACAGTCTACAGCACCCACCTAAGGTGTCACTCTCATCACTTCAGGTGCCTTCCTCTCTGTGGATAAAGCTCCAGATCTAACAAGCCATGCTGCTAGCTGCTGTTGTTATGTGCCTTCAGATTGTTTTTTTTTTACTTATGCTAGCAGTGATGAAATTCAGGGGGAATTTGGCTTTTTCTGAGGCCGAGAGAGTATGATTTGTCCAATGTCACTAGCGGGTTTCATGGCCAAGTAGGATTTCAATCCTGGTTCTCAGCGTGCTCAAACCACCATTCAACTCTCTTTTTCTGCACCTAGTACAGAGGATAACGTTTATTTTCCCCTGCTGCATGACAACCATTTCAAGATTCAAGCATTTAAAAAACAATTTGATACAGATTCTGCTATTTAAAATAGACAACTACATACAGGAGAGTACAAGATGGGAATCAATGCTGACTCTTTACGGGGAGCAAGCTACATTTTAAGGAAACTATTTCAAGTGCTGTCTCATATTAGTCTTTCTCACATTTGTTGTGGCCTAAATACCCCCAAAGGCACCAGATCCAGTCTAGGAAGTTAAGCAGAGTGAGGTCTGATTAGAACCTGGATGCGAGACTGCTAAGGCGCACCAGATGCTGTAGGCTATTATTTCAGAGGGAGAGTATTTCTTGCCTAAGAAAACTCTATGACACTCATGAACACACACTCTGCAGGTAATGCTGCAAACTCTTAAGCGTCTGTGCAGTTTTCAAATAAAATATTTCTGTTGCTGGTCGAGAAAGTGATATTCGTGTTTCATTGTGCAGTACCTACTTTGAAAGTAGTTGTTATACTCCAGATACTTTGGGGGTTTTTTGTAACCACAAACTATACTGAATTGTGTTATTGAAGGCATTGATTGAAACTCAATGAGATATTCACTTGAAAGCTATAGCAGAGTTTTTGCAGTTTAGTAAACGTTCTCCTTTTTAAAATGATAGAACCAATTAGGAAATGACGTTTATAAGCCAGGAACAAAAATTGTGTTACACATTGTACTCGTTAGACCTTTGTAAGATATAACACTTAAAATATTTTTTTTCTGAGAATAATTAACTCAACCTAACAAATCGCTTTCAGGGAATCTTTCAGGCTGCATCATGAGAAAGTGGCATTTCGGAGGTCCAATTCTGGTAAGGAGTAAAAATCCAGGAGGATTAGAAGTTTACATATAGTTAATATACCTCTGACAACAAATCGTATTATACTCTGGCTCTGTTGGTTCTGGTTCAGTCAACTTTGTTGGCTTTTCGACTGCATAATAATTTAATAACTATATTAATTGAATGTTTAATTGTGGTTTTCTATACATTTATGTTAAATGTCTTTAATGTTTTTAGGTGAGATGTGATGTTATCGGTTATGTTATTATTTAATTTTGAGTTACAAGTTTGTCTCAGATGTTGGTTTATGTTGGGAACTGGTTGGTTCGTTATTTGTATTTGTTTTGATGAATGTATTATGGCATTGAATGTCTGCCCTTTGTATATTTTTGTTGTTGTTTTGCTGGAATCAGGTCGGAGTTCTTTTGGGGAGATACAGTGGAATACAAATAGCATTTATTTATTTAGTAATTACTAGAATAATAGATTTAATGTTACCTGCCTCTCCCCACAGCTCAATACAGGGTACAATATAGTTAAAACACATAAAGCAAAATAAAGTTTAAAAAAAACCATTAAAATACATATATTAAAAGCTCGCATACCCATGTCATATACACACATGCACACACCGACACATTCACTCCAGAAGTAACAGTTTCAAATCTGAGGGGAAAAAATACAATGAGGACTAGGAGCAGAAAGAAAACCAAAACAGAAAAGCAAAGAGTGTTTTTGTCTCTTTGTTCAATGTTGCATATTTTCCCCTAATGTTTCAAAGCAAGTGCAACTTGGGAGGAAGACACGAGAAAGGGGAGGGAGTGTAATTAGAAAAAAAACAAGGGAAGGTTTTTGAGGCTGAAAATGCGTGTGTCTATGAGATGGGTATGCGAGCAAAGCATAGTGACTCCACCTGTGTACCCCCCTTTTTTGCTGTGTCTTCGTGACAAGGTGATCGAAAACAAACTGTAATGGGGCAGCGAAACCATGTGTTTCGTTTTGTTTTCCTGAAGGCAAGGTTGTGGGGAGACATACAAAGAACTAACAAAAATAATAAAAGAATAATTAAGCAGAGAATAGTATTGGCCTTAAAAAGGGGAAAAAAATGAAAAGTAGAGGGGGGAAATTTTAAATAAAATGAAACTTAAGTTTGACAAAGGAAATATGCAAACTCTATAGGTCACGTGGTGACTGTGGACTTTTCTGATTCCAAATAAAAATGGGAGTGGAAAAAAAAATACATATATTAAAAGCTGAAACATTCCCATTCAGGATAAACCATAAACAGAGAGGGACGACAAAAAAGAGTGGCTTACTTTGGTATTGGCAGGGGGTCGCCCCAACTCATACTTCCTCTTCTTATGATAGGGTTTGCGCTTCCCCCCAGTTTTGCGGCGCTTGTGCCAGTTGTCCCTGGAGATACCTGTGTGGGCAGACCAAAAAATAAAAAATGTGACATCAAAAATGCATTAAAGGATGCATCTACACTATAGAACGCATGCAGTTTGTCACCAAACTGCATGCGTTCTATAGTGTAGATGCCAAACTGTCACCAAACTTCATGCTCGGCGCTATAGGATTCTCAGAGTTGTAGCTTGGCGAGGGCACAGCAGAGAAGACTAAAGACCTTGTAAAGCTACAACTCCCACGATACTACAGCATTGAGTCATGGGAGTTAAAAGTAGCATCAAACTGCATTCGTTCCACAGTGCAGTAGATGCACCCAGAGTGTGCAGTATTGTTTCCCACCAGGAAAAGAATCCTTAAGGCCTGAGTTACTCAGCTCTCCAAGGTAAAATGTCTCCCCAGAAGACAGTCGGCTTTAGGAAGCTTCATCACGGGAACTCCAGGCGAAGGAACACACGGCCTGTGGGATAGGAAAAGGCCTCCTCTGGGCCGAGGATAGACGGCCAGTGTATCAACAGGGCATAGGCCCAAGCCGCCATTGCGGCTTGGGCCTATGCCCTGTTGATACACTGGCCGCCTATCCTCGGCCTAGAGGCCTTTTTTTCTCCACCGCAACCGAAAACACCGCACGATAACGCCCCATCCGTGTTCTTAAGACCGTCCTTTCCCCCATTAACCACATTACATCTCCGTTGAGGCGGACGCGGGGCCGGATGGCGGCGGATTCCCCCTCACGCCGCGCCGGCAGCCACTCACCCATCCTTCTCCGGAGGCGCCCACTGCAAAGAGGAAGGCGTAAGGCCTCACGGGGCGGGATGTGGCCCAGGAAGCCTCGCGATACTTCTTCCCCTCTCCCGCACGGGATTTCGAAGCGCGGCGTTGCCTTGGACCTCTGAACGTCATCACAAACGGACGAGGAAGTACAGGCAGGAGCTGTTTTGGGGATTTAATTCAGAGAGGAACTTTTTGCATCGTCCAGAGAATTGTCAGGGCTTTTGCTGTTATTTCTATTACAGTGTTATAGAATCATAGAGTTGGAAAAGACCTCATGGGCGATCCAGTCCAACCCCCAGCCAAGAAGCAGGAAAATCGCCTTTAAAGCACCCCCGACAGATGACCATCCAGTCTCTGTTTAAAAGCCTCCAAAGAAGGAGCCTCCACCACACTCCGAGGCAGAGAGTTACACTGCTTAATAGCTCTCACAGTCAGGAAGTTCTTCCTCATGTTCAGATGGAATCTCCTTTCTTGTAGTTTGAAGTCCTACTCTCCAGGGCAGCAGAAAACAAGTTTGCTCCCTCCTAGCTGTGACTTCCTCTCACATATTTATATATGCTATCATGTCTCCTCTCAGCCTTCTCTTCTGAAAGTTAGCTCTTTAAGCCGCTCCTCATAGATCTTGTTCTCCAGACCCTTGATCATTTTAGTCGCCCTCCTCTGGACACATTCCAGCTTGTCAACATCTCCCTTCAATTGTTGTGTCCAGAATTGGACACAGTATTCCAGATGTGGTCTAACCAAGGCAGCCCTATGAGGAGCGGCTTAAAGAGCTGGGCATGTTTAGCCTGCAGAAGAGAAGGCTGAGAGGAGGCATGTATAAATATGTGAGGGGAAGTCATAGGGAAGAGGGAGCAAGCTTGTTTTCTGCTGCCCTGGAGACTAGGACGGGGAGCAGTGGCTTCAAACTACAGGAAAGGATATTCCACCTGAACATGAGGAAGAACATCCTCACTGTAAGAACTGTTCAGCAGTGGAACTCTCTGCCCCAGAGTGTGGTGGAGGCTTTCAAACAGGCTGGATTAGGAACATTTCAAACCATGATATTTCTGGTCAAAACCTGAGACTCTCTGGTGATGAGGGCAGGACTTGGTGATATTAGTAGGCATTATGCACTAAGCAAGAGTTGCTCGCAGCTTGTCATCCAAGCACACGTGTATTTTACTTATTGGAATTTTTGCAAAACCACAACACTTTAATAATATCTATTAACTTTTCCAAATTGCAGGAAACTGCATGGGCACTTAGAACAATATTATTCAAATCTGGTCAAACTAGAGGGCATAATATTGCTTTATCTGCTAGATGCTGCTACTATGTTCCAGCCTTGGAACTATTTTTATAGCAAGCACTGATATATTTTTTTTTTTGGGGGGGGGGGGGGGGGGGGGAGTATATATAATTGTTAAATTGCCAGACCTGAAATTGGGAGGTCCTGATTCATAGCGATCTGATCATTAAGCTTTACTCAGTGATCTTTGAGGTAGATGAATAAACAAAACATCTATCATCTGGTCTCTTCATTGCCATGAGTTCATTGAATAATACAGCCAGGCTATTCATTAGGTGGAAGGAGGCAGAGCACCAGAAGCAGTGATCTCTGCTCCTGCTCTCTTGAAGAGCATTTATTATTATTGCCTGGCCTTCTCCCTTTCACCTTGTTCTCCCACACTCCCTCATTCTTTCCTTCTTTGCCTCACCTTTTCTTATATTCTCATGATCTTCCTTCTTTTTGTTCCTATTTTCCTCCTCACTTCATGCTGATGCCAGCCTGCCTGCCATCAGTAAATCAGCAAAAAAGTGACTAGTGGTTCCCATTCTGTTTTAAAGTATGAAATTGCTGAAATACAGTTTACACAGTATTTTGTTTTACCTGGGTCTTCATGGAATTCTCAAGAATAGTAAAAAAAAACTGCCAAAGGTCACCAGTTTGAACTTTGTGTACCTTGTATATTTGAGCGCTACATATAAAGATATATATAAAGACTAATTTATGCTACCTATATTTCATGTTGTGTATGTGTTCCAAGAGCCATGTCTAATGTATCTATTTAGGTATTGTTTTCAGTAGACATCCACAACATGTTCATATATATATAACAAACAAAAAACAGTTTTAGACATAGTAAATTTGTTTCTTGCTGCAGTAGACTCAGGAGCTAGTTCTGGAATGCCCTTTATTATACCTTGTCTGCACACATGCCAGAGATGACTTTATTGAACAGATTATCAGGTTGCTTTAACACCAGGAGTGTCTTGAATCCTTTAAGCACACCCTCAGGGCAAAGGCCTGGTCCTGGTAGAGTACTATTACAGTTCCTAGAAAGGGCTGAGTGTGGATTATATATGACCTGCATTCTTTTCAAGTGACAAATATTTTCATGCTTAAATGTCTTTCACTCTTGCTAGCTTCAGTAGGAAGAAGTAACACAGCACTGTACAGCCATTAGTTCAATGTTAGGGTTCCATTTAATATCCATAACCAAAAGTATACTCCTATACTGTTGTCATGTAACAGATACTGACTCTAAAGACCTATCAGACATAAGGAACAGTGGTGTCATCTCCATGGATCCCTTCCTGTACCAGACCAGAATATTGTAACTAAAATACCTGGAAGTCTGACAATCAGTGGCTATACAAAACCAGCACCATGCATTAGCCACTGAGACAAAACCATGTGATTTGAAGAATCACTGTAGCTGAGCTAAGCTCACAAAAATGTTTTTGCGGTTATAGTAACTACAAGGGTATTTGAGTTTTTTAAAAAAAATCTACTGAAACACTACACATTCATTTTGGTGCCATCCTGTGCAGTTTGCATGCACCCACCCCATACACCATTAGTGATACCACTGGTAAGGGGTTAACTCTGCAGACTTTTGGGTGCCAAACCCCTTATTTTTGCCATATACTGTATTTCACCAAATTGAAGGTGCCATACAATGTAAGGCATTCCCCTCTTTTTGAAGAATTCATTTTTTTTTGGAAAAAATAACTATTTTTTAGAATGTTCTCTGCCTGCACAGTACCTTTGTTTCAACCCAGAAGACATCTTGTTCTATAGGCCCATTAGGCCCAATAGGAAGGCATGGGAAGCAGAAAACAGTAAAGCTATCTGGCTGAGTCAGAGGGCAAAGTGGTGTGGGCTAGGGCCCTTCCTCCTCTTCCTCTATCAGACGTAAGACAAAGTTTAAAAAGAACCAAAAACCAGTGATAAAGCTCACGTATGAGTTCATGATCTTCCTCTTATAATCAACAATATATCTTCTCTGTCACCCATTGGCTGCTCTTGTTCATTATTTTCTTCCCTATGTAAAATTTATCTGCATATAGAACTGTGTTTTTTTAAATTATGATAAAATTTATTCCAGTACTACTTTCTACATTAAAAAGCATATAGGGAATTAATAATAATGGGCCTTTAAGGAAGTACTACTCTGTGAACACCCAAAGCAAAATACTAACAAATTCAAAGTTACCTTATTAGAATTTCTTCAAAAATGACAGACACATAATTGGCAAACTGATGCAAAATATTTATTCCAAGTTAGTTATCTTCTGATGCAGTAGTTTTTCCCCCTCATACAGACTCAATGTGATAGTCACTTTTTTAAATCTGTAAATAATGTTATCAAAATAATCTTAATCTTTGAAATCCCACAAAAATTTATATTTTACAATCCACCCTGAATATCAAGGTTGCAAGAAGAACACAAACGATTCCTATATCCAAATATTTTACAGCTGTACCCAAAAAAAGAAAAACCAAACACGCCTGGTTAAGTGATGAAGCTCCCCGAGCCGCCAAAAAAATAAAAAGTTCCATGTTATTAGCATTAATTTAACACAATTAGAACTTCCATAGCCATTTTGTCATTGACAATGATTGTTTTAGCACATTATTGCCGCACAGCATTTTGCCATGTGGACGGCAGTATAAGAAGCTTGTGGCTGCCCAACCCAGTCCCTTACATCCTGCTTCTGATGAGACTGAACTGAGGCCTTGTCCCAGAAGACCAGTGGTCCACCCATCTGCACGGACTGTTTTCTATGAAGCATAGAAGGGCAAAACCAAAAAGTAATAAGCCAATAGCTTTCTTCTTTGGGATATAATTCTTTCCCTTGTGCATGAAGTTTTCAACAATAAAAAAGAAACTGAACAGACTTGAGACAGAATAAACTCTGCTTCATTTGAACCCCAAACATTAATGTGCTAAACTACAAACTGAGTTTGCTGGGTTGGTTTTATACTGTGGGTTTTTGGTGCCCCTTTTCAGGCATCGTCGTCTGAAGTTTCACTGCTACTTGTCTCTGTATCTGATGCTTCAAAATCTGTCTTAAAAGTGCTTCTCCAGTGGGAGAACAGTTGACTGCTGCAACGGCCTTGAAGAAATCCATTCTTTCTAAAGCCATTTCTTCTTAGCTGGAGGAAGAACAAATAAGTTTGTATTTATTTCTCTTCTTTGTACAGTTAAGAACAAGCACATCATACTTCAATTACAGGTATACCTCAGTTAATAAAGCCTCTGACAAAGAAGCTTCTTTTGTCAAAGTTTCTTATGCAAGTCAACCATCCCTTCCTATCTAACTAGAAGGTGGTTTTGGTGGTGGTGGGGGGGGGGGGCACTGGCCTTGGAAGGATAGTGAAGGAGGATGGAGAAACACATGCTTTTAGTGCTGGATTATATCAGTCTGCTAGCAATAAATACTACAATCAAACTTGGTCTGGCATGTTGAAAACCCCCTAGCTCTTCACATTTTGCCACCAACATGGAAATCATAAGAAAAGTGGAGGCTATTGAAAGAAAAAAAAAATCCCAGGATACATTTGAAAGAGGCTTTCAAGTGGCTTCTAAAAGAGTCAAAATGTTTTTGTTTACTTGGCTTACTTTACAAGGTTGTTTCATTTTGCATGTATATAATGTTTCATTTTGCATGTGCATATTTAACCAAGTTGTTTCATTTGGCATGTACATAAATAATATCCCTATTTCTTTCCATATTACCGTATTGCTACCTCTAGGACCAAAGTTCCTGTTAAAGAAATAAAGCTGAGGAGCATATTGATTTCATTAGCTGATGTATACCTGCATATCAGATGCAAAATTATATATGAAAGGTTGATAAATGTTCAGCCAGAAATCATACCTGCTCTGACTTTATTTGGAACTCTTTGAGCTCATCCTCTGTAAGCGGAAGGCAATTCTCATCATTTTCAGGATATTCCTGCCATCCCATTGCTTTCAGTAATCTAGAAGGTCAGTGGCACAGAAGCAGGTAGAGAAAAAGGTATTGTATTAAACATGGCAGAAAAGCCTAGGGAAGACAAGCTCTCATCAAACGAACAAACTGGCCATGTATTAGTTCCTTATTTATTTTATTTATTTATTGCATTTGTTGACCGCCGTTCTCAGCCCTTTTGGGCGACTCACGGCAGTGTACAACATATAAAAACAGTTTACAATATAACCCTCATACAACACAGTATACACGTAACATCAATAATACAACAATAATTACTCTAAATCATCCGCGTCGTCTCAGCGTAGAATCATAAACCAATCTCGTATTCCATATTCCGTTCCAGTCGTCATTGTCAATTGTTGTAATACTTAATTGAACGCCTGCTCGAATAGCCATGTCTTTAAGCTCTTGCGGAATGACATAAGGGAGGGCGCCTGTCTGATGTCCACAGGGACGGTGCTCCATAGCCGGGGCGCCACCACCGAGAAGGCCCTATCTCTCGTCCCCGCCAAACGTGCCTGTGAGGCAGGCGGGATCAAGAGAAGGGCCTCCCCAGATGATCTCAAGGCCCTCGTGGGCTCATAGGCCGAGATGCGGTCAGAAAGGTATTTTGGGCCGGAACCGTTTAGGGCTTTGTAGGCCAGCACCAGCACCTTGAATTGGGCCCGGTAGCAGATCGGCAGCCAGTGGAGCTGGAACAACAAGGGTGTTGTGTGCTCCCTGCGTCCCGCTCCTGTTAGTAACATGGCTGCCGCGCGCTGGACTAGCTGAAGCTTCCGGGCCGTCTACAAGGGCAGCCCCACGTAGAGAGCGTTGCAGTAATCAAGGCGGGATGTGACCAGAGCGTGTACCACCGTGGCCAAGTCAGATGAGACTGAACTGAGGCCTTGTCCCAGAAGACCAGTGGTCCTGTGTTCCAAACTATGAAAATACTTGACACTGACAATATCTAAGATGAAGGAAGAGCAGGAAAGCTGCTCAGACTACTGTATATATTCATGTATAAGTCAACTTCATGTTTAAGTGAAGGACAGATTTTGGAGTCAAAATTATGTATTTTGATAACTAATGGATAAGTTGAGAGTCATCTCACAGAGAGAAAAGCTGCCACAAGGCATCAGTTGCCCTGACATTTACTACCGTTTCCACATCCAAGCATTTGAAAAGACCGTGGTGGTGCCATGGCAGAGAGGGGAAATTAGATTACCCATTTTTTTCAGAGTGATATTTAACCTAATACATAAATTTATAACTATCTGAGATATCATGGAATACTGTGAACTCATTTGAAACAATGTCCCCAACACTTGTGAGCAAAGAGTGGTAGATATCGATTTCTGCCAGTTTTCTTTGATTGCACTGACTTTTAATCAAACTGAAAAAACCTGGAATTCTAATGTTTACAACAATATAATGTGCTGGTAATGCCACCTCAAGAAGTTGCAAGTTGTGGGTCCACTGTTCCAGCTTATCCCAATATATTCTATACCGTGCTGCTGGAGTGAAATTTCCCTAGGTCAAGTGTCCCTGTCTCCCTCACCTGTGTTCTGCTTCTAATGAGTGAGAGAGGTTTTCCCCCTCTTCCAAAGGCAGAGAAAGACCATTCTGATGGCAATTCTCTTCCCAATTTTCCTTTGGTTCTGGTGTGCTGCCGCCTTCCATCTGGTGGGGGGAAAAACAAATAGTTAAATAAAAGCCTACTGAGGTAGCATTGTTTCCTGAATATTCGCAAATATAATTTCAGAGTACAGCTGGACAGTAGGTGGGTGTTTATAAGACTAAAACAATCTACCATGATATCAGGCAAACACTCTAGTAATACAACCAAAGCTGCAGTCTTATTAGTAAGTAAGCCTTAGTTAACACAAAAAGGACTCCTGAAATATACACCTAAGATTATTCTGTAAAGAGCCTTGCTTTCTCTTGGCAAAAGAACCAAAACAAATCTAGATATTCTCACTAGTGATTAATGCTATTAAATAGTGACATCTTTCTTTTCACCCAAATCTGTGGACATCCATCTTGGCAGTTAACAATCCAGAAAAATAACTGTTTAATATGTATAGTATCTGTAAATTCCTGCTTGTAGCCCACATCTATTAGAATTGTGCATGTGTTTCCTGTGCTAGATTGGATCAGTGCACACCTGATAAATGCCATCACCACTGCAATGCCCAATTTTCAGAGGCCACTGTGCCTATTTATGACCTACATATTACTAATAATAAAAGGAGTCTTGTGTATTACTAATAATAAAAGGGGTCTTCCAAAATCAATAGTCTTGTTCTTTATTGTCTTCCTTATGCTTCATTTCTCAAAGATGAAACAAGAGTTCAGGTATAGCACTGACCTAAGGAAGAAAAATCCTTCCATAAACAACATAATTTTGTCTCATACTATGCATTTTGAAATTAAGTCTAGGTAATTTTTATTCGGTCAAAGAATCTATTAACAATCTATAGAAGTGGTTGCCTTTCTAAAAAGTTACTCTGTAGTCAGATCATGCATAAAGAAAATAGATACATAACCTCTTGCTCATGTAAAACCTGTTCATACCTTTGAAGCTTATTTTATCACCACTACTTACATCAAATATTACTGTTTGGAATTTATACAGGTCAAAAATAAAATCTGGTATTAATGTACTAAATATACAAGGTAGCAGATTTGCCAGATATCAGTGTAACCCAACATTAAGTCTTGTTCTGGAATATTGTGTAAAGATTCATTTTGTAATATCTGCAGAAAAAAAATCTTCAGGTTTTAAAAAGGAACACTGGGACTCACTGTGATACATCCTTTTTCTGTATTGTTTGAAGAATATTCTTGAATGGGTTGATCCTCCCACTTGCTCCAATAAGCAAGAATATAAAAGTTAGCCTTGAATCACGCGCCCTAATGAAGGAGCAATCTATACCTGATTTAAAGTGCTAGTGTGAAAGAAACAAGAACAAGGATAAAAGAGCATCTCTCAAAAGCCCTAGAATCAAAGGACTAAAAATGATGGCATAGATATAGTAATGGAAGAAAAATTCTGCATTCATAAGGTAGTTAGATATATTATCTACCTATGAAACCATTGCTCCTCAACCCCACTAAACATTAAATAGTCCAGAGAGCAAAGCAGAGAATCCATCTACAACAGAAAAAGAATGTATCAGCACTGGGTCAAGTCCCAATGCTCCCTTTTTCCAAAGTGGAGGAACACATACTTGGATGGGATAGACAAGAAAAGCACCCCTCAAAAGCAGGCTCCTCATTGCTGACAACCTTTTAGGAATCACCCGCTGCAATACCTGCTATCCAAAGCAGAATTCTGCTAATGCAGAGGCATCTTAATTCAGAGTTTTGTTATAAGGGTGCCATTGATTTTCACATTTCAGTCTTACACATGACTACTACACAAAGGAATAGCAAATATAGTGGGATTTTCATCAACCTTGTTAGAATGAAAGTAAAAAAAATAGAACCCAAAATATATTTGGTATGCCTGAGGTTTTGATGGCACACTTGACATCTAACTTATACCTTTGCTCCTCAATACATTTACAGTACCTGTTTGGGGATGGAAAATAGTAATACCGGTTCCTGCACACTGTGAAACACAGAAATGACTATGAAAACAAGTCAAACCCAGATGCACCACCACAAAATCTGGGCGAAGAAAATATACCCAGGAATAATAATACCCCTGACACCCTGCTACTAGGAAAAGCATTGAAATACTTTCCAAGATAGTTTGCTCAGTTCCTAGATGTGTGCAGCGTCTTTAAAAAAATAGCCACAACATCTCTATTTAAGTCCATATTGGGCCATATGAAGAGCAGATGCTTTCAAAAGGGCTTTCTATCTTAAAACTTTGAAGATGTGGTGGGGAATACAGCATCCAGATTGCTGAAGTAGGCCATCAGAAAAGCTGACATTTGCAGTGCAGCCCAGAGGCTATTAGACACAACTTCAATGTCTAGTTGTAGTACATCTGTATTATGGGGCAAATATTACCCAAGGAGCCTACCAGAGTCTGTAATTGGAAGAGTAAATGAAGCCAAGATGGAATGTATGGCCTTATATGTTCAGGCTCCCCAACTCCAGCTTCACTGATCAAAAATCAGCCAGGAAATTACTTGAGGGAGGGGTTGACACAAGAAAGGAATGAGACTCTTCTCTTGCTAAATGCCATCAGATCCCACTAACAAGCATTAGTTCTAATGTCCTCTCTACTCAAACTTGATAAATTTCTCTTACAATCCAGATCACCATTAAAAATACAAATTCAAGGAGTAACAGTATATCCTTGCCTTCACAAATATGGCACGAGGCCTTGGCACACTGTGGGGGAAAACCCTGCTGGTCCCACAATCTTAGGTAGCTTGAAAAGCATTGCTATATAAGGCAATGTGAATCGAACTTTGTATTTTGCCAGGGCATGAGATGCAACTAAAATTTCAGCATGAACAATGAGATCTTATATATAGCCAAGTACAGTATATTTCTTACAGCAATATTCACAAATGCCTTAAAATCAATGAATTGTCAGCTAGCTGCAACTTTTCAACTCTCCTCCATATGAACAGATTACTGCCATTCTCATAGAATAATCAGGTACCTTTGCTTAAAACTGCTGACTAAAGTGACATAAAGAACTAATAAAGGGCATGGAAAGCTTCTCCTCCTCTTACCTAGGTACCAGAGGAAAAGGGCTTCTTCTTGCTTCTGTTAGCTTGCTTGTCAAAGAAAGAGGCAAAAAAATCAACCTGAATCTTATATAATACGGTATATACTACATTTATAGTTATCGAGTCTGATCAAATCGCTGTCAAGATGCAGGGACCAAAAGCAGAACAGAAACAGATAAATTAATCTTTTAACAATTATGGGTAGAAGTCTTAAATAACGTGGCAGGAGTTCAAGGAGAAGGAGTTTGTGTGAAAGATTTACATATTCCTGCCTATCAGATCAAGTGGGAAGATTGTTCCATTCAAGGATATCCTCTTCTACTAAAGGAAAAAAAATCCCTGTTTATCATGGGTTTTAATGCTTTGGACATAAAAAGGGGGGTTACACTCTTACATCCTCCAGTTTGTTGTTCTCATGGCGTTCTGGCAATTCTCCATTCCTGTCATCCTTCAGAGCCTTCAGGAACTCACTCTTCTTATCTGTGGTGCGACGCATCAGCTTTGTCAAGCGAGAGGAGCTTATTTCAATTGGAGGGGTGGTGCTGGAAGGACTCTGGGAAGAGAATAATAATGTTACAGATATTTCAGAAAGTAGGTGTAATGTGACAGAGGCTGCCCCAACTTACTTTTCTAAAATAGCCTTCACTTGTGTTTGACCTTCTGGACACTTCTGATTTTGAACAAAGGGGAGAAGTATGACCACTTGGGGGAGAACAGAGCTGTGTTCCCTGAACCATCAGTGGCTGCCTATCTGTCCTTAATTATTTTCTCTGATCACTGAGTAAGTTCATAGTATTTTGACTTCAATCCTATATACTTACCTCTTTGGAAGAGGCAAGAATAGACCCGCTGGCTAATACAGCTGGTTTGGTTATAGACACTGGACTGGTAAAAGCAGAATCACGACTGGAGGTGAGAGAGCCTGGTTTATGCTCACTTCTGTTAGTTTTCCATTGGCTTGGCTATAATGAGAAGGACCCAACAATGAGAAGGACCCAATGCAGCAAATATCTTTAAACAGCAACACCAAGGACTTAATTTAGTTAAAACGAGCTTGAAATCACACACCTGTGTCAAAATGAGCAATTAAAATGCTGCTTTTAGCATAGTAGTGTGGATCCCTATCAGTATCACTGTTACAGTGAAATCCTCTAATTTAAAAATATTACATGCCAGATCATATGCAACTATGTCCTTGATTCTTTAAAGCTCAAGTTACCACCAAGGAAGATGTTTCTGCTCAAGTAAAATAAATGCTAACTCTTCTCAGTGAGAGTTTTGATATCCTTATCAAGCCTTCTCAAACAAAAATTGAGAAAATACATTTTTACTATAGGATGAGATCAAAGAGAGGAATGTGTACATATAAGATACAAAATGAAGGTATCTAGTTAAAATATAACTAATCTCTTATAGATTGTAACAATACAGTCTAATGTTAAAATAGATTTTAGTATGATGCAATCTATATTTCTTAGAATAACTGACAGCACTTTAACATTTCTTTCTACTTTTTTGTATTACAGCCATTCAGTGAAATCCCTGGTACCTTGGAAGGAGGTGCTGCAGGTTTAGGAACCAGGTTTTTATAGACACTTGGGACAATAGTGGTTGCTTTGTTGCCATTTGAAAGCTGAGGCCCTGGTGATGTAAATGCAGCCGAGAAAGCAGCAGCAGGATCTTCTTTTGAAACCTTTTTGATGACCAGCATCTTGGTAGGTTGCTTGGCACTAGGAGGGTTTTCTATTAAAACAAAGGAAAAGGGAACTCTGTTTATACACGTACACAAAAGAAGTACCGGTAGATTACATTTACAGTTTCATTGTCTTTAATTCTGCTAGGAAAAAAAATAGGTAAGATGTCTCTTTTGTTTAATGACTTTACAAAACCAGAACTGTGACAATAATAGTAATGTTGTCAAATTATATAAACATAGACAGAAGGATCTTGTTAGGAGTAAGTGAGGGGATATTACAACACTGTGTCAAGTACCTATGCAAGTTTATTCTGGCATTACAAAATATGTAAACCACAGAGGTGAAACACAAAAACAAAGCAAACTAGGAAAAGCACAGCCCTGTTATTTCTGCTTTGCACTTAAGTCAGTAGAAAGAGATTCTAGGTTATGTCTATCTTGCTTTAATACATCTGACAGTGTCTTAAAACCTACCCCAGACACCTGATGGAGTCCCAATGGGCTTATTGTGATGGTTCTGCTTTCCGGCTTCTGGATTCAATGATGGCTGTAAACACATTAAGAAAATAAGTATTTTAAAACCGCCATTAAACAAAGGGTCTTCAGTTGATCTGGTTAGGAAAGTGATGCATCTTAAAAAAGTTCAACATGTTCACCTCCAAATAAAAATGCAGATGAATGGTTTCTTTGTGCTTGTACTTAATAAAGCACTCCCAGACCACAATTGACATATGGCAACCTATGGTGATATGGGACCTAGAAGGTTATTATTATCCTGCTGTCTCCTGTGTTCTCCTAAAATCTGCTGCTAAATTCTTCAAATCCTTACAGATCTGATTTGCAGGTTGTACACAGCGCTGGAAAGAAGAGAGAAATGGGGGGAAATCTACTGGCAGAAAAGAAAGCTGGAGTTGTTCAGTTGCTTGCATAACTGTTGGTAAAACAAATACATGCAAACCACAACCGGTCCAACACAATTGTAATGAATTGTGTAGCATCTTGCATAAACTAAACCAAAAGAAAACTGAATTTCTTCAGTAGTCCCTTTGTTCAAGCTGAATAACATCACCAGATGAAAGAAAACAAACTTTTAAATAACTGTTTTTTTTCCCCAATGTTGATTGCCTTTATCAGGACCTATATCAGCCACTGTAAGAACATATTTGGTCTCCAAAAAAGATCTTTCAGGAGAACACAAATGCAGATATGCCACTGATGAAACTAAGGCTGATTTCACACAACTATGTGCAAGATTCCCTTGAGTGCTACAGTCATAACATATTTTGCTGTGCACCTTGTACCTGGGCCCTTGGTGAGCACTAGGGTTTGGTTCCAGGGCTCATATTAAAAGCAAAATTCACAAATGCTCAAGTGCCATCATATATAATGGCATAGTAAAATGGTATCTCTTATACAAAATGGTAAAATCAAGGTTTGCTTTTTTATTTAAAAATATATGTTCAAGGTGTGGTGGTATTTATAGACGCGAAATCTGTGGACCAAAGCCCAACTGTATAGAAAACTATTTAATATTTTGACCCTGCATGTCTCCCAAAAAGTCAATTTAAGCTAAATTTATATTTGCAAACAGATTATTCTGTGCTTTTTAAACTTTTGACTTGAGTTTAGGCGATCATTGTCATAAAAGTTGGAAATTAGCTGAATTTCAGAAAATAGTATGTAATCTAAAAAAAATTCAGAAGTATTTTATCAGCCAGTGATGTACGACTTCAGATTTAATTCAGTTACACAACTGTCACAAAAATGTTGAACTACGCAGCTAAAAGGAAAACTGCAATGTGTGTATTTTTTAAATAATGCATGTTGCAAACAATAATTTGTTTGTATCAATCTTAATAAGAAATACTGAGAAATAATCTTACCAATATCTTGAGCAGTGTTTCCCAACCTTTGGTCCTCCAAGTATTTTGAACTTCAACTCCCAGAAATCCCAGGCAGCTTACCAGTTGTTAGGAATTGTGGGAACTGAAATCCAAAACACCAGGAGGACCAAAGGTTAGGAATTACTGGTCTTGAGAGCTGCTTTAATAATCAATATGGAAATGGAAAAAAACACTCAGTGCAACATGCAAGTGGAGAAGAAATCATTTCTAACTTCCTGAAACTGACTCTGCTAGTGTTAAAAGTTTTGTTGAAAGTGTAGTATACTTACAAAGTCTTCCTCCTCAAACTGCAGTTTCTCCTTCTCCTCCTTCTCTTCCCTGGCCTCGGCAGGTGACTTTTCTTGAAAAACTGAACCCTTTCGGGAGTGGAAATTGCCATTCCAGTGACGATGGGATGCATTTCCTCCCCCCCGCTGATTCATACCATCATGACCCCGTGAAGAACCATGCCAGCCAGGCTGGTTGCCAGCTAGCCCAACATGAGCTCCTTTAGAAACACCAGAATCCACAGAATCATGACGGTGTAAGGAAGGCTGATGCCAGCAATCTGCGTAAGAGGAAGATAGTGGCATAGTGGCATTACAAAAGCTAGTCATTATCAGATGCCCTGTGGTACTACAGCAGAAGTCCTCCAAAAGTCTGTGTACAAGAACCCATGTCTGATATTAGGCTTGTAGGCTCTATGTTAAGAGAAAGTAATTCATTCTGCCAATATAAGTGCCCATCAGTGTGAGCGTTGAACTACGACTCTGGGAGGTCACAATTCGAATCCCAAGTCATGGAAACTCACTGGCTGATTGCGGGCAAGTCACACTTTTGCAGCCTCAGAAGAAGGCAAAGACAAATCCCCTTTGAACAAATCTTGGGGGAAAACTTGATGATAGGGTCGGCAAAATTAAGAAATGATTTGAAGGTACACAGCAACATATAAGCAGTGAAACTTCAGGGGTTTTTTTAATTACCAAAGGGTGAAATCATACAGTTTGCAGGCCACACTCATTGAGACCCCCCCCCCCCCCCCCCCCATTTTTAACACTTCTTTTTTGGCTAAAAGAACACATGTATTTGGAGAAGGGGGCTTCTGCAGTGAAACATTTGGTGGTGTGCCCTCTGGACACCAGAGTATGCTCATGTTTCCTCTAGAAGCCTGTTTAAGTATGAAGCAAATCTGGGTCCCAGGATATCAAAGGAAGCAAGAAAGTGCTATAAAGTACGGATTTTAAAGCTTTCTCCCAAGCTTTAAAGCCTGGAGCAAGTTTGGATTAGTTGGAAACCTTATTTTGTAGTTATTAATGTTAGCAGGACCTGACAGAAAAGGAAGATTGATAACCTAGTAATAGAATACAGTAGTCCTTCCATGAGCCCTGCTATATACCTCCTGCAGTTCTGAGGGGCCCATTATTAAAAAAGCCATCTGAAGAGTTGTGGCGTCTCCGGCTTACTCCAAAGCGGCCCTCTCCCCGAGGAAGATGCTCTCCGTGCTTCTCAAAAGGAGCTCCAGGGGCCTAAAAAGGGGGATTCAAAACATTAAAGGCTTCCAATCTGACATTATCAATAAACACATTATTTGTCTGTATTAACAGAATGTATATGCTTTGTTGAAAAGTAAACAGGCTACATATGGTATGACTATCCACAAATGCATGTTTATGTGCCAGTCCAGCAGCACAATTCTGGAGTCTTAGAAATATTTTTTTTCAGAACTTGCCACCTTTTAAAATTCTGGATGTTTCAAAATGATGGGCTCATTTTGTGAGCAGTATATTTCACGATGGCAACATGTTAGAATTACACAAAAAGTTACCAATGGTTTAATTAGTTTTATTAATCATTCTCTTGACACAATTGGAAAAGTTTCAGCTGTATGCTAACTTATTTTAGTTAGCCTAACAAACTCCATTTGGACAATAGCTGACATTGCCATCTTGTGAACAACTGAGGCCAGGGCTGTTTGTGTGCTCAGAAAGGCATTATCAGTAAACATTTGATTCATGCCTCACCCTTTCAAGTTTCATTCATGGGCAGTTTTTGGTTGCAGAAATATAGCGATTTTAAATCAGGTCAATCTTTTTGAAACACCCTATATTAAGAAAAAAAATCTCCTAATACAGTAAAATCAGTCTCAAGTACTCTGGGATACAGACTAGATACTAGTTTTCAAATTTAATTCTGAAAGTGCTTACAAACCTTTAGCTGCAATCAATACAATACAATCTGCATATAATGTACATTTAGAATTATGTTTATCTGTCTAAACCAGAAATCTTTTTAACAGAAATGAATTCTCTGTAATAATAATTTCAATAAAAATCAACTAAAAGACAAAAAATACAACCATGTCTCCTCTCTCCAAAGAGGATTTGATATGATCTCAATCCGATGATAAAAACTGCAATGTTTTAAATAAGAAGTGGAGTTTTACTTTGTCTTTTCTTTACAAAGGAATATAAATAATGCTGATTCATGATATTCACATTCATTGACTAAATTTATTATTCTTGTAATACTATTTAAAGTCAAGACCACTTGACTTTAAATGGTATTTGATTTATTTGATTTGATGAAAAGTTTTAGTGCAAAGAGTTATGAAAATGTTGTAGTCTTCACTGAAGCAGATGGAGTTAATAAAGGGTATTTATCCTTTTTATAGGTCACAGACAACCTTTTTTACTTGCTGTGATTTTTACCCATAAACTCACAGACCTAGCATCTTAAGCTTTATTTTAGATTAGCACAGAGTGGCAAATGAACTAGCAACTCTGATAGCTATGCCCTACCATGTAACAATGTATGTGATTTTATAGCAGACTATCCAAATTTTGTGTAAAGAGCAACAAAGAGCTGTACAAAAACAAAAATTCAATAGTGCAATAGTTCATAATCTAAGGGATGTTGCTTGCATAAATCAAATTGAAGAGACTGGTCCAAAATGCAACAATTACCTTGGCGGACTGTGGCGTCGAGAAGTTAAGCCAGGCAGGAACAAAGTCATGTTGCGCCATTTAGGTCCAGTGTCTTTCTTTAATAAAATGAGGCATCAAACCTCATGGCCAGGATCTAAGACAAAAAGAACACAATATATCCAATGTTAGCTACTCCCAAACATGGAAACATACTGTGCCTCCTCCCACCCACTTAGAAAGAAGCTTAGCATTTTTCCTAAGTGATACAACTCACTTCTAGCTGCACCAGTACCTATAGTTACTGTCAGAGCTTTTTTTAAAAATCAAAGGGGAATGTTATATGTGCCTTTTACTGAAGACTATTAGCATTTCATTTACCAGATCTTCTTCTTTCATACCCAACAACCACATACAGAGTACAGCAGATTGTTTACAACAATTAATATCAACAAACTGTATGATGTTCCATTTCAATTTCTATTACTAGCCTTTCATACTGTATAATGGGAAAGTGTATGTACTTAACATAGAGCTGCAAAATAAAATTCCACGCTGACTTACCTACTTTGGCCTCAGCAGTCCACTCTTGCTTTTAGCTGTCCTCTTGACTCTCCAGGTTTCTTTCTTCTCCAGGGTGCACCTCTGCCAGCTCTGTGGCAATGGTGAGTCCCCCAAAAAGCACAAAAAGCCGCACTTTGTGCTGACTGCACCCCTCAACCTCTCTAACTGCTCATTTTAACTGCGCTCTGCACTCATATGAGAAAAGAAGTCCTAAAAGGGAGTGTGCATTTTTGAAAAACCACAACCACATTCACCTCATTAAACTTTTTTCTGTTGTCACAATGCTATATAATCTAACTATTACATTACAGAAGTATTTATTAGATCTGCACAACATTCAGAAAAATGCCATTATTAATGGTGAATCCCTCAAATTAACTTTTTTCATCTTCTGCAAGAAATCTGCAGAATAACCAACTGGGTCAGGACACAGGAAGAAGGAAGTTGAAAGGTTCCTGAGAAGTCTGGCAAATTCTGGAATACTAGGTTAAGATTCTGTTCCTAAATGTCCTAAAATGCAACACTCATATTCAAAATTTTATAATTGCTAAAAAAAAGATTAGCGTTTTTTTAAAAACAGTACCTTGATGGGCTTTTCATATCCTTCAATAAGTTTCCATGCTGAGAAACTACAAACAACTTGAAGATATGTCACAACATTTTATGTCTTTTCTATAATTTCCATTTATGCATTTAATTAAAGCTAAAAATAAAGGGTCAGCTTTTAAAGCAATCTCTCCCTAAGCAATTCTACTTGAATTATTGCTCTAATCAGAGGAGAACAGCAAAAAGGAGGAAAAGCTGGTTGTATTAAAATGAAGAGTTCATATTTGAGAAACTGTCTTCTTCCATCAGAAACAGTAGAATTCACAAAGCATTATCTGAAGGGGAAAAAATACCAATCAGCAAATAGAGAAATGCAATACAAAATCATACAATTTAACATTTCTATGTCATCTTTTATTTCAATGTAATTATCTAGAAATCTAGATTTTAATGCACCTATGTATCTTTATTTCACCATTCTTCATAGCACAATTTATCCACTTTCACGGGACTAATTTTGTTTTATTTTCATAGCAACCTTGTGAAGTAAGTTAGGCAAAAACATAGTGACTTTATGAATTAGCCTTATAACAAAGTAAGAATCTGAACCAATGTGGTAAAATGTTTTGAGCACTAGAATATGATTCTTGGTGACCAAGGCTGACATCTCTGCTCAGCCATGAAAACCCACTGGGTGGTGACCCAGAGTAAGCCACATTCTCCCTAGCTCTCCTCTGAACACATCTTGCCAAGGAAAACTTGTGATCAATTCACCTTAGAATCATCGTAAGTTGGAAAAAAATTGGAGACATTCAACAAGAATTTCAATTCAAATCACCACAGCTGAGATCCCACAAAACATTTTTAGGACACACTGGTGTTTCCCATGATAACGTTTGGATTTACGAATACCATGTTCTTAGCTAAAAGGAAACCAGTCTATCACACACTTGCTCTTACAAGACATTAAAATAGATGGCTGTCATATGAAGCACATTTCTAAATTCTGACTATCGTCTCTTACAAAGTTACACACAAAGTGAATCTTGCTGGTTCCTTCATTTTCTTCTCTCTGCCACAGTTTTTTTCATTTTATAAAAATGAACTTAGCATACCTGCTTTCAGATAAAGCAATATTGTGATTTCAAAACTATTTTGTGAGGATCCCTTCAAGGAAAATATGGATATGGCAAGAATTTCCTTTTTATCTCTGTGCTATGGACAAATGTTTTGAATTTTAGGGTTGATGATCTTTCTCCTGCTTTATCTGATGGATTTCTGTTGTTCTACAGCTGTTTTGTCTTACAGCTTGTAACTATATAAAATACCAATTTTATAAAAAAAACACAATGATTACAAAACTACTATTCCAGCTATCAAACTGGAGAAACTTGATTTTGTCACTTCTACTCTTAATGAAAGCAACAACACATTCATAGTCTACCTTGGTCAACACAGCAAAATGAAAGACACATGATTAAAATAATCTGTACAACAGATATTTTTGTTATTTACCACTATCAAGTCACCTCATAGCAATATTATGAATGAAAGACCTGGCAATGTCAGCTCATTGACTTTCTTGACTCAATCAATTCACGTGTAAGTGCTAGAGAAAGCACTTCCTAGAACTCTTGTTTGCAGAGAGCAAAATAGGATTCGTTGTTAACATGAACATATCTAAAAATATTGTATCTATTTGATATTTGAAAACAAATATGTATTTTTAATTTATGTTTTTATAAAATTACAAACCATCCTGAAAAGGCATGGCACTTTGAAACACTGGTTAAACATGTATTAAATTAGATGAGGAACATGCAGAATATAAGTACTATCATTTTTTGTGGTTATCCCCTTGGGTCATGCTCCTGAGTCTGCTGCAGTTGTAAAAGTAGGCACTTTTTCTTTAAAATAAAGCCTGCACTTGTTCCTAGAGATGTGATTCCAGGAATAAAATTCTATTTGTAAATGAAGTACATGGAAACCACCTTTTATTTAAAGGAGAGTCCGTGTTCCCTTTTTCTAATCTCTGTGGCAAATTTAGTGGCATTAGCAGGGATTGTACTCTCTGTGACAGCTGTAGGGGCTATGTAGTACTTCTACATAGGCCCTAAAAATGCCTATGCCTGTATTATACCAATAAAACAAGTCACCACCATTTACCGTTCACAGAAATAAGGTAAGTCTGTGTTCTGTGGCTCTTGGGTAACCAGTAACTCAGTTGTGTAGTTTTATAAACAGCAGGAATTGTAGTGTTATACTTCATAATATCAAAAATGTGAAGTACAGGTATATTTGTCATGATCTTTGATTATTTCACGAAGAGTTCAATGGTAGCAAAATGTCTGTTGTTGTAATGGGTGGTCTGTGTGCACATGTAAGTGTTATGTGGCCTCCATGGAAGTGCATTTGTTTGTATTTAAGCATATTCGTAGACTCTACACAAGACTCCACTTGGTAGACGCAAGATCACTCATTTCAGGGGTTGTGGGTGTTCCCAAGCATAGCATTTTAATTTTCTGTTTAATCAATTTGAGTTATTTACAGTAATATGTATTGTATAATGGACAGGACAGCATCTGGTTACAACAAAATCATGCTCCTTCTGCCAACATCTGGTGAGAATACCATAGATTGCACTTGATTTATTTACATTAACCATAGAGAAAACCATATGAGTTATTAAGAATTGAGCCAGAATCTTTTTCCAAGCAGCCCCACTTTTTCACCTGCCTGTTGGCTATAGAAGCCAAGGTAGGTAATTTAATCCCAATATGAGAAATGGCTACTATGGAATAAGTCTGGCTGGTGATACCATTGGCAACCACATAACCAGTTGTAACAAGGCCAAATGTACCACACCTAATAGTGCACAACATCATTTAACCACCCTCAACTTATTACTACAGTTTGCAATTATGCAGCAGCATTAGATAAAATTAACCTACACTATAATCTATATGTAAATATTTTGGTCATATGAGTGGATGAGGAGAATGGAGGTTTGGAAAACTAATTTAATTTCCCACAAGGATAGACTGGTAACCTGATGCTGTGAAATATACAAGTTTGTTGGAGGCCCTATGTAAACTGAATGTGTAGTCTAGAGCATTCATTTTAATTATATATTTTTTATCTTACATTGATTTTTCCTAGGTGATTAACAAGTTCAAATTAAAATCCAATACAGTAAAATATTAAAAATAGAACCGACTAATTAAAAGTATCAATTTCAAATAAAATGGAGGCCAAAGAACAAACAACCTCTCATATATTTTTAAAAGGCAAAATTTTAAACTACTTGTTTAATTTAGTGTATATAAACTTATAGTACATATATGTAACCGACACAAAAAACTGTAATATCATCTAAGCATTTATTTATTTTATTTGGAGCATTTATTAACCGCCATTCTCAGCCCACTCGGGCGACTCACGGCGGTGTACAGTACAAAAGGCAATTCACACAAAGACAAGTACAACAGCATATTAACCATACAACAATACAACAGTTAAAATTACACTAACTAATCCGCTTCGTCTCGTAATAGAATCGTGACCAATCTCGTATTCCTTGTACCATTCCAGTCGTCTTTACCACATTACTATAGCACTTAATTAAATGCCCTCTCGAACAGCCACGTCTTGAGGCTTTTTCGGAAGGACAAAAGAGAGGGCGCCTGCCTGATGTCTGTAGGGAGAGTGTTCCACAACCGGGGGGCCACCACTGAGAAGGCCCTCTCTCTCGTCCCCGCCAGGTGTGCCTGTGAGGCAGGCGGGATCGAGAGAAGGGCCTCCCCAGACGATCTCAAGGTCCTCGTGGGCTCATAGGCCAAGATGCGGTCTGAAAGGTATTTTGGGCCGGAGCCGTTCAGGGCTTTGTAGGCCAACACCAGCACCTTAAATTGGGCCCGGTAGCAAATCAGCAGCCAGTGGAGCTGGGACAACAAGGGTGTTGTGTGCTCCCTGTATCCCGCTCCAGTTAGTAACATGGCTGCCGCACGCTGAACCAGCTGAAGCTTCCGGGCCGTCTTCAAGGGCAGCCCCACGTAGAGAGCGTTGCAGTAGTCAAGCCGGGATGTGACCAGAGCGTGTACCCCCGTGGCCAAGTCAGACTTCCCGAGATACGGGCGCAGCTGGCGCACGAGCCGAAGCTGTGCAAATGCTCCCCTGGTCACCGCTGAAACCTGGGGATCCAGGCTCAACGATGAGTCCAGGGTCACACCCAAGCTGCGAACCTGCGCCTTCAAGGGGAGTGCGACCCCGTCCAGCACAGGCTGTAACCCTATATCCCGTTCGGCCTTGCGACTGACCAGGAGTACCTCTGTCTTGTCTGGATTTAGTTTCAGTTTGTTCGCCCTCATCCAGACCGTCACAGCGGCCAGGCATCTGGCTCCTAAAAGCATCCTACAGACACACAACACATTCTTTAAATTTAGTTTCTCAAGGGAGCTCCATATAGTGTTTATAAAGCCCAAATTAACAATTTCACCTTGGGCTGGAAACAAAGTGGTAGACAATACAATTGACAATTAATAGCTATAGCTTGATCCCTGAACATAATTTTCACAAGCAATCTAGTTACCACCTTATGGATACTTATCCATAAGCAAAGTAAAAGCTGATCAGATTTACTATCAATATATTAATTTTTCAATAAGATATATGTTCCAATTTAGCAAAAACGATATGTACCATAAGCACTTGTTTAAATACACTGTTCCTTTTAAAAAAAATACACTAATTAAATATCTAAAGTAAATACCGCCTGCCCATATTTCTTCAGTATATTTCAAAAACTCATATCTCACTAATTAATTCTGCACATTTTTTTTGTATTCGTGCTGCATCAGAATGTGAGTTAGTACTTTACTTATATATAAACACAGCTGTAAAATACTAATATCTCTGCACATTCAATAGAGCAAACCAATGCAAGGGTTAAATCGCCTATAACATCTATTACAAACTTAAAATACTAAATGGTAAAACATCATTGTAAGTTATATCTTTGGACACTTAACGTGGGACTCATACAACTGCACATTTATCTCTTTTTTTAATCAAGAAGACTTCAGATACCTTCATATGACCTAACCAAGAAAATCTACTATAGCTCATCACTAGCAAATACTTCCAGAGTAGAATGGAGCATGCTTTTGATATACACTAGGGTTTTGTTCCAAAACTTCCCATGGATACTAAAATTTGTGGATGTTCAAATCCCACTATGTACAATTATACAGGAAAATGATGTCCCTTATATACAATGGCAATCAACTTAATTGAGTGCCAGACAGCCTGAGGATCTGTGAAATGGGAGGCTACAACA